CCGTCTTTTGTTTTGAGAGAGAAATTCCGTTCTTGTTTTCAGTCCTATAACGTGCGACATTCCAATGCCCACCTTCGAATGTCGGTTCCTTGTGTACACTATGGCGCGGGGGTCGTTGGGACACATCAACCGGACCGCAGTCACCCCCTCTCGCCCTCTCCGTCTTCACGCCTGTCTTTATGTGTGGGTGCAGGTGTGTGTATGTGCGCTGGGGGGCGGGAGGGGAAGGAGAGAGGGGTGGAGGAAACGCCGATTAACGCTGCACGCGGTTTACAGTAGATGCCATTCAGACGACATAGATATAATGTGGAAACACTGCTGTGCGCAGTGAACTGGATAAATGTGGCACGGAAATGGGAGGGGGTGGGGGCTGCGGAAGCACGCTCGGGGTGTGTGTGGGGTGGCGACCCGGGGGATGAATTGGAATGGAAGGCGGGGAAAGGGGTGCGTCCGAGCGACTGCCTCTGTGTGTGTTAGTGCGTGTGTGTGTCTGTGTGAGTGACTGGGTCGCAGAGTCATCCACGACCGCACCATGACCATTGCGATAATGAAAGCTTTCTGTTTTATAATCTAAACATTATTTCTTATCGTTTTCTTTCTCTTGCGAAAAATACATACAATTATCTGAAGCCTTAGCGAGAGCGCTCCCTTTCTCTTTCGCGGGCCGCGCACATGCATGAGTTGCGACGTCCCGTTCCCATTTTGTTTCGGACCCTTTGCGCCCGAAAGGTAGGCAGGCTGGCAGCTCAAGGGAGTTGACGCCTCGAAGGCTGGGCTCGCCGGGCTGGGCGGGCTGGGCTTGGCTTGCTGGCGCGGGGCGGGGGGCTGTGATGTGCCCGTCATAGTGATTGGCGTCCGGGACACGACCCAGACGTGGCGCGGCGCGCGGCGCGCTCGGTCATGTGAGCCGTGATGGCCACACTGCCAGAAGAGCGGGGCTGGGCGGGCGACGGCCGCGACGGCCGCGACGGCGTTTGGCACAGGTGTCTGAATGCAGCGGCCGCACCGCGAGCACGCCGAACACACCGCGCACCAGCTGCAGCGTCGCGGACTCGCGGACCGCGCGGCGCTTGAACCCGGAAGCCGTTGGAGCTGGCCACGCTGGCCATCTCGAGCCACGGCGGCCACGGCGGCCACGGCCACCCTCTGTGACGTGACGAGGTGGAGGTGCCGGCGAGGTGCGCGCTCTTCACGGCTCAGTGGCCGGAGGAACCCCCCCCCCCCCTCTTTTCCACTACCGATACGTTCCACACTCTCTCTCACACACACTCACAGACACACACACACTCATTTCGGCGGCAGCTGCTGCCGGGAGGAAATGCCCGGCGTGGTGGACCCGCGCCCCGAACGTTGAGTGCCCGGTGAACCGTGGCCCCCGCGACACCTCACCGCGCTCTCGCTCGAAGGCCCTGCGGAATGCAGTGCCTGCCCTGGCGGAGACTTGGACGCACTGCGCGCCCTCGCAAACCGAAGCCGAATCCCGAGTCGGGCCTCGAATCTTGAAAAATGTCCGAGGAAGGCGATGCGGTCGATGCTCGTTGGGCCGATGACGGCGGCGCTCCGTCTTTCCTGAGGGGGAGGGGGTGGCCGCCCCTCCGCCCGCCATGGCCACCCACCCGCCATAACCATGCCGAGTCTACGGCGTCTACGACTGTCTTCTACGGCCGCGACTCAAATCGCAAAATCTCCGATATAAATTACCGGCCGATCGTATCAGGCCTAACATCAGCGCGCGCATAGCCCTGTGACCACAGGCGGCACACACACGCGGCCACATATTTCATGGGAACAACAACAACAATAACAACAGTAGCAGCGGAAACAACAACGGCAACCAGCGCCTGCTACTCCTCGTTGGCTCTTCTCTCAAACGGCCGGGAATATCGGTGTGGCACGCGACTGGCGAAGGAAGGAAGAAATGGCTGGATTAGGAAGTCCAGCTAAATTGTTGCTTGATTTTTTTCGCACGATAACGGCGAAATCTAGTCGTGTCGCCAAGGAGGCGTCGTTTTTCCGTCGCGTGCTTTGCGGGTTAAAAGAGAATCTTGAGTCGCTTCTCCCAAGCCACGCGATATTTAAGCGTGTTTCAAGTTTCAAATTAGGGGTTCCAAGCACAAACAGCCTTGGTTCGGCTTCTTATCCGTAACTTGGATGGGTTGGTGGTCCACTGGGGTACCGTCACTCCACTGTATGCATCCGCAACTTAACAGAAAAATGGCGGGGCGGCAAGGGCTTTGATTCCCCTCCCACCTCCCACACACTGCCCTCGCCGCGCCACCCGTTTGGACTGCGGGCTGCGGGGTAGCCACCGCTAGCCACCGCCTTCCTCGGACAGTGCAGCCCTTCGCCTGCTGGGGTGTGAAATTCTCGGTGCGGCAAAGTTTGAATTGGTCTTCCTGGGCGTGTGCGGTGGGGGGAGCGGCGGGGCGGGGCGGGGCGGGGCGGGCGGGGCGGCGTGAGAATAGAGGGGAGGGGGCGGCGGAGTCGGACTAAAGCGTAGCCCCGCCAGTCCACCGCGAACCGAGGCGCGCCGCGCACGCATCTCGCGCACGCCACGCAGACACGCACCGAACGCGCGCTGTGCTCGGGTCCGCGTTTGTGTTCGGCAGTGATAGTGCGCGGTCGCCTGAACGGATAATCACTCAGTGCATGTGTGTGAGAGGGGGGCAATCAGATTGATGCTCTGGTGAGAATCGAACGCGGTGGTCTGGAGGTGTCGTTGTGCCGCCCGGCCTGGCCCGGCCCGGCCGTTGTGCTTGTCGAGTTCCTGGGAAGACGCTAGTCTTGTTGTTGCTGCTGTTGTTGCTGCCTGACGTGGGCCGCCGAGGCGTTGCCTTTTGCGCCTTATCGACGCGAAAGAGGAAAGGGGACGGCAGAAAGCATAATCGCATCCAAATGAGCTCTCCGCTCTCCGTCACAGTCCGCGAGCCTCGCCTCGCCAATCCGCTAATTAGCTCGCGGGCCGGCAGAGAGCGCTGCCGTCGCCTCGCGGCGCGCGCCGATCTCGTCCTCAAAATAAAAAGTGAGGCCGCGATAGGAACGTGCCCACCCTGGGTGTGTGTGTTTGCGCGCACGTGACTGTGTCAGTGTGGGAGTGTGGGCCGGGGAAGTCCCCGTGACGGGACGGGCTTGATGGTTCGCTACCCAGTGGGCTGGAAGCGCTGCAAGCGCTGGAAGGAAGGCACTCGGGAATCGTGAAAGTGTAACTTATGAGTGGCAGGATGGCCTGGCGACGCGACGGTGCCGAGGCGCGCCGCGAGTCGAACGGTGGCCGCCACACTCGCCGGAGTGTGCGACAGAGACAGCTGCCGGTTGTACACGCTTTATCGCCGTCTTGATGGAGAAGCGCGGCTCTCTGTTTTTGCGTGTCGAGCCGCGAGCGGCAGCGCCACTGTACTCGTGTGTTACGTTTTTCACCGAACGGGATGCACCACTACTTGTTTCGCTTTGGGATTAATCTTCCATTGTGGCCGTTCCCAGAAAAGCGCCGATTAATACGCCGGCCTTTTTTCTTGATCGTCATGAAAGCCCTGGTATGAATGCTGTGTCCAAAAATTCCAGGAAGCGCGTACACTAGGGCAGAAGCTCTAGTTTTGTTTCTCTGTTCACGCTGTGGCCTTTCGGCCTGCCAGAAAAGGAGTTGGGACTTGCCTACGAAAAGCGGAGGCGTTCCCGCCCCACACTGCCGGGGGCTGACGGGGTTGACGGACTCCTGCGGTCTTTGGACAAACAAAGGCTTGGCGAGCCCCTTTCTGGGTCCCTTTCTGGGCCCTGGGCGCGGTCCGCGGTTACGTGAGCGCGGTCGTCATGGAAACTGCAAAATCCCGCGGCCGGCCTGTGGCGGCCTGTGGCCCTTGCCTCCATTAGCCGTGAAATCGCCGCAATAAAAATTAAGGTCTGCTTGCACTGGCAGCCCTGCCGGCGGCGTGGCGTGGCGGGGCGGGGTGCGGCGGGCGGAGCAGCCCCTGATTTGCCAATTTCTCTTTTGTTTTCCGTTTCCTTACTGTCGGCAGTAAAAGTCGCTTCACTGGCGTCTGGTGCGCGCTCGTCCCTCTCTTTCCCCCTCGCAGGGCGTGCCGCCGAGCTGTCACCCGCCTTGTCAGGCGCCTTGTCTGCTTCATTTTCCGCGGGATATTTCGGTAAAAATACTTTGACACAACGTCACAACGTCACCGCGGAAGCGCGACTCGGCGCTGCAGTGCCGCCACCGACGGGAGGGGTGGGGCACATTCGCGGGGAAACAAACAACAACAGCAACAACAACAATGAGCTATGGAATATATTGTCCGTTCATTGAAAAAGTAAACAACTAGTTATGTAATTGATAATTATTGCAACTACTTCTTCTATAATAAGTCACAAGTGAATTTTTTTTAAAAATATTTTTCTAAGTCACTTAGTACTATTTTATTTTTGTGAAAAATAAGTTCTTAAAAATGGGTTTGTGTTTTTTCGTTGGACACTAATTTTTTAAAAGATCTGTTGAGAGCTGTTTACATAGTGTCTGTCTAGCGCAGAGAACACCCAATGAATCAAAATCGTTTTTGGTTTTCCCGCTGGTTTGAGGCCCGGTACAAAGCGGCAAAAACAATAGCGAACGCTTAGATAAGCTGCGAGACAATGACCCAGGTAGGAAGGGGGTCAGGCACGATGACAAGCACAACGGCCCAGCGAGACGCGACCAGGGTCCAGGCCAGGCAGGCGGCTCACTGCGTACCTCCCGTGTTGTTACATAAAGGCTCGTTGAAGCGCGGCGAGCCAGGCCAGCCCGGCCAGCCCGGCGGTGAAGGTCTCGGTCCCCGACTCCCCGTCCACATGTTGTGAGGCCGATCCGCCGCTCCACTGGAGGGCGCACGTGGGGCCGCCAGGGCCCGCGTGGACCCGCTGGAGGCGCTGGAGGTACCCCGTGGACCCGCGTGGGGCCCCCGGGGCCCGCTAGGGGCGCCATTGGGGGCGCCGCCGCCGCTGGGGACCCCCCTGGGGACCCCTCTTGGGACCCCTCTGGGGGACTCGCCGCCCTGGGGCCACGCGGCCATGGACTACGTATGGTCTCTCGGTGAGGACCCCGTCGTGGAGCCCGCCGAGGACCGGTGTCGCCGAATGCAAGGTACGTTGTGTGTCCGCGCACCGCGCCAAGTGTTGCCGGGCCTTCGGGAAGCCTTCGGGAAGCCTTCGCGAAGGCGGGGCCGTGGTTCTAGTCACGCCGGGCCCGGCCAGGAAGCTCGGCTAACGCATGCACGTTACGCGCCTTGCCTCCTCCCCGGGAGGGCAGGGCGAGCAGCAGGGCGCCGTGTTGCCGAGTGCCCAATTCGTACTGCACTTGTTCCTGGACGTGCGTGCATGTCCGGCCACACCGAAAATCGAAATCGCGAACACCACCCGCTACTGCGCAGTGCCGCAGTCGGCCGCAGTGCTGCCACCGTCGGAGCGGGTCTGGAGAGAGGCGAAGTGTTGCCCGCTAATCTTCTCGCCGCCGTCCGATTATCTCGGCCGCGATGAAAGGGGGGAGGGGGGGCGTGGGCGGATCTCTAGCGGGGAAGGGGCGGGGGCGGCGCGCTCGCAGACTTGCCGAGCGAGAAGTGCAGCGCAGGATGCAGCCGTTAATGTGCATCAGATGCTTTCTATGCAGGCACGCGTGGCAGGACTGGAATCCCCTGCCGGCGTCGGCCTGGACTGCAGGCTGCCCGCTGGAATTCCACGCAAGTGGCTGCATGGGAACCGCTGCTCCCGCTGGAATCGGCTCGCCGTTGACATGTCCCACCTGGGAGATTGAAGACCGGGAATGAAAAAAATGAAACTGCAGTCCTGCGGCGGCCAGACGGCCTGAGACGCCGCATGCTGCATGCAGTTTCCACGAGGAATTCGCGTAGATCTTCTCGGCCCTTATCGCCGTCATCGCGACGCCGCGCGCCGTTTGCTGCACACGAGCCGGGCAGACGGGCAGGCAGCCAGCCGGGCAGGCAAGCGAGCCATGCAAACAGTCACGCTTCCGGATTGTTCAACACGTCCCGATGCGCCCTTTGTGCGTTACTCAAGTCGGCGGCCCGGCTGCGCGGTTCTCGAGGGTGTCAGTTGGCAGCCCTGGCAGCCCTGCCTCCGCGGGGCTGCGCGTCCAGCCGTCCAGGCCGTCGCGTCGAGCGGCAGGCGTGCCAACTGACGCTGGACCCATCACTACACCGCGCGCGTCACACGCAGTAGTGAAAGCGGTGGCGCGGCTTCGCGCTGCACTCCGCGGCCCGCGCCGCGCTACCCGTCCAAAAAGCTGCGTTCGCGTGGAGGGGTCCCCGTCGGTCCCGGTGGACTGCCGCCGCTACCGCCACCCCTGTCGTGGATACGCCACCCCGCGTTGGAGTCTCCGGGCGGGCCGACAACCTGCCACGCCTGCCACCATCCCCCGCCGCGTTCGTCCCGTTCGTTCCGGAGCGGCCGGTGTCATCGTCAGGGGGACGACACCAGCCGGGGGAAACTCCCCTTCCCGGCTGAAACCAGGCTCGGAAGGGAGCGGCTCCGTTTTCCAATTTTTAAAAACGAAAAAAGCTAATAGAAGTTTTTTGATTGACATAACGAGTACATCAGGGCAACGTAAAATTTCACGTAGATTACGATTCTGCACTTACATTTGAAAAAGGGGACGAAGGATTGCGGAAATAATCACGGATTCTGTTCATACGGGCGGCTCGCCGTCAGGTCGTCCAAGCGAGCCATGCAAACAGTCACGCTTCCGGATTGTTCAACACGTCCCGATGCGCCCTTTGTGCGTTACTCAAGTTGGCAGCCCGGCTCCGCGGTTCTCGAGGGTGTCAGTTGGCAGCCCTGGCAGCCCTGCCTCCGCGGGGCTGCGCGTCCAGCCGTCCAGGCCGTCGCGTCGAGCGGCAGGCGTGCCAACTGACGCTGGACCCATCACTACACCGCGCGCGTCACACGCAGTAGTGAAAGCGGTGGCGCGGCTTCGCGCTGCACTCCGCGGCCCGCGCCGCGCTACCCGTCCAAAAAGCTGCGTTCGCGTGGAGGGGTCCCCGTCGGTCCCGTTGGACTGCCGCCGCTACCGCCACCCGCCACCCGTCGTGGATACGCCACCCCGCGTTGGAGTCTCCGGGCGGGCCGACAACCTGCCACGCCTGCCACCATCCCCCGCCGCGTTCGTCCCGTTCGTTCCGGAGCGGCCGGTGTCATCGTCAGGTGGACGACACCCTGCCCGCCCGGCCCGGCCCGTTCGGTCCTTTCGGACGCGCCGCCGCACGCTTCGGAGGCGGCCGACGCGCCTCGCTGGCCACGCAGTGCGCGTTGGGCGACGCGGGGGGCGATGGTTAATCGAAGCGCCGATATTGCACTGCCGGAACCTTTACCTTTGCCGGGGAGCGCGGCCACCGTGACGCACCTATCTCTTTCGGGGACGACCTGCCGGTGCGGCGCGAGTGTGTGTGTGTGTGTATGTGTGTGTGAGGGAGGGGAGGGGGAGGCCAGGGGGATGCACCGAGGCAGTTTCTCGCGCACTGACCGCGCTAATGGTCCGGCAGGCGGTCTTCCGGTGTTAATCGCGCACCCCTTCCCCTCCCCTCCCCTTCCCTCTCAACCCACCCACCCGCCGCCCCCAGCACGTGCCTCCTCGTTTATGCCGTCAAAGCACAGTCAGCTGTTTTTACACTGCTGCTCGTACCCGCACGCGGACTGCCGAATTCACACGGCAATGCTCGCCGGTGGGAACGGCGACGCGGCCCGGGTCGCCACGGCCAGGTCGCGGCAGCGGCGGGGCTTTGGTGTCCGGCGCTCATTTACACACGGCGTCTTTGTTTGGACAACCCCCGCAGGGACAGTGAGTGCGGGGGTGTGGGGCGGCTCAACAAGTGCGTGGTCAGGGCTGCACGCCCTCTGTTTGCCCAGCGTGTTTGTCCGTTTGCTTAAAGGCCGCGCCGTTTTGTGTTGCAGGCCGGAACGACTTCGAGGGGATCGACAACGACGGCCTTGACTTCGGGGACTTGGAGAACTTCATCATTGGCGACGGCACCAGCAGCGAGTAAGTTCAACGAAACAAAAACAAAAAACTAGGCCAAAGACCTACTTGTCTCAAACGATTTTGGATGTAATTGCGTGTTTGTCTTTTTACCTCTCAGTTATTTCGATGACACGACGCTGGTCGTGCACAATGAGGAGGCACGCGGCCACGCGACCGCGCTGTCGGACCCGCAGGAGGATGTGGCCCAACAACAGCAACAGCCGCAAGACTCGAAACCTCCCACCTTCGGCGTCTACGTCATCCCACCGTGAGTGCCCCACAATCCATTTTCACCATTTGTTTTGTAAATTTATTCTTCTTTGGATTGATTTTAAATACGAAATTGAGTTAACTCTAGATAACGATTGTCCTGTCCGTTGCAGACACAGTCTCCCGGAGAGCCCCCCGGACTCGGGGTCCGAGCCTCCGTACTCCCCGCAAGACCATGGCGGGCAGTCTCCTCGTAAGTACAAACTGTGTTTTTTTTTCAGTGCTGGTTGACGCAAAACGATTGAGGGCAATTTCTTTCCGCGGCGCGGTTCGGAAGAAAAATTGTATACCCAGACAATGTACTTAAAATAATGCCAAAAAAGAAGTCCGATTTCTGGTCGGCCACCTGGCTTCCTTCCGTCGCTCGTCTCCTGTCCCTCCTAAGAATTGACGTCAAATACCCGTTTGGGCCAAAAAGGACGAAAAGCAAAGGAACAACAGCCCCAAACCGAGATCGACCGATGCGCCATGGCGCGGCGTCTGGTTTTTGGATACCCGTTTCGGAGTTGCCCATCCGTGGCCCATCATCAATTTCGGCGCTCGGGCGGCCGGTTCCGTGCTTCGCTGCTTCGCTCCGTGCCCGAGGCTCCGCGCGTGGAGTGGCGTGGAGTGGCTTCCAGTGTACTCGGCGTACAGCACGAGGAGCTTCATTCTGCACAAATTACGGCGCGGCGCGCTGGCGGCCTGCACGTGCCCGGAGTCCTCTTCGCCCCGGATTTCCAGAGCGTTGTCTGTCTGTCGCCTAACGCATCGCGTCGCCTCTTTCCACCCTTTGCAGACCAGAGGCTGGGCGCCGCGCGGCCGCCGGGCCTGCAGGACATGCTGATGCACCCGGCGTCCTTCGTGGCGCAGCCCCTGGCGCAGTCGCTGGCGCAGCCCCTGCACATCGCCGTGCCGCACGCCGTGGGCCACCTCGCCGAGGCCCTGCCCGGGCACACGCCCACGCTGCAGGTGCAGGGCGCCGGCGGGGAGACCATCCTGGTGCAGCACTCCGTCGTGCTGGCCGCCATGCCGCCCGCCTCGCCGCTGCCCCTGCCGCTGGCCGAGTGCGACGGCGGCGTGGGCGGCGTGTTCCCGGTGCTCGGCGTCGGCCCGGCCGCCGTGCCCACCAGCCCCGTCCTCGCCACCAAGAAGAGGAAGCTGTCGCAGGACGGTCGCATCCACGTCAAGACTGAGCCCGGCATGGCAGGTGAGTGCCGGTCCACTTGTCCGTTTCCATGCTGTGGCCCGTGGAAATGAAAACAACAACCTCTTGTCGCAGAGCTGTCCCCAGACTCCTGCTCCAACCAGACGGGCGTGCTGGACGACGACTTCGGCATGGACTGCTCCGGGGAGATGTACGGCCTGGAGTCCAGCCTGCAGTGCATCCGCTTCAGCCCCTTCCAGCCCACGGACTGGCACGCGCTGTGCGACCAGAAGTTCATCGAGCTGTGAGTCTCACCTTGCTTTGACCCCTCCGTTCGTGTTTAAAACAGAGAGAAATAATCGTTTTGAAATCTTGCTTGTCCAACCCCAGACCACCGCCAAAGTACCAAGTGGTCGCGGACAAAGGCTTCAACTTCTCGAACGCCGACGACGCGTTCGTGTGCCAGAAGAAGAACCACTTCCAGGTGAGGCTGGCGCTGTGCTCGGCGGGGCGTGGCGCGGAGGCGGCGGAAGAGTTGCCTACCTCCCAGGCGGCCATAGCGCACCGCAACATCGGGATGGCTTTCCCGCGAAAATCGAATGACTAATTAAACGACGATGACCGCTTTCCCCCACAGATCACTTGCCACGTGAAGCTGCTCGGCGACGCGCAGTTCGTGAAGACGGCCGAGGGCTTCAAGAAGATCCTGTCCTGGCAGCTGCACTTCTACGGCGCCAAGACGGAGGCCACGGCGCAGACCATCAAGGTGGAGCAGAGCCAGAGCGACCGGTCCAAGAAGGCGTTCCACCCAGTGCAGTAAGAGCCTGAGCCTCTTTTCCCGCCCACTCGGCTGGGCCGCGCCGCAACGACAGTGCGCCTTAACCTAACCCTACCCCTTCGTCGCAGGCTGGAGCTGCGCGTGGACGAGCCCGTCAAGAAGACGGTGGGCCGTCTGCACTTCAGCGAGACGACCTCCAACAACATGCGCAAGAAGGGCAAGCCCAACCCCGACCAGCGCTACTTCTACCTCGTGGTGGGGCTGCACGCCCACTGCACCGACGACCTGGACTACCCCATCGTGTCGCACAACTCGGAGCGGATCATCGTCAGGGTTCGTATCCCCGTCCCCGTCCTCGTTTGACACCTCACGAACGAGAGCAGAAAATACTGACAGTGTTTGTTGGTTTGCAGGCGTCGAACCCGGGCCAGTTCGAAAGCGACGCGGAGCTGTGCTGGCAGAAGGGCTCCGTCTCGGACTCTATCTACCACACGGGCCGGTGCGGCATCAACACGGACCGGCCCGAGGAGGCGCTCACCGTGCACGGCAACCTGCGGCTCACCGGCCACCTCATCCAGCCCAGCGACAGCCGCGCCAAGGAGGCCATCCGGGAGGTGCGAAGCCCTGCGGAGGATACTTTGGACGCCTACCTCCGTTTGCAGCTTCTGTTTTTATTTTATTTCTTATCCATTCTTTGCCTTGCAGTGCGACACGCGGGAGCAGCTCCGCAACGTGCAGCAGATCCGCGTGGTGCAGTACCGCTACACGGAGGATTTCGCGCGCCACGCCGGCCTGGGCGCGGGCGTGAGCACGGGCGTCATCGCGCAGGAGGTGCAGCACGTCCTGCCCGAGGCCGTGAGCACGGCCGGCGACGTGGTGCTGGACAACGGGACCAAGCTGGACAACTTCCTCGTCGTGAACCGGGTGAGGGGTGGTTTGGAACGTGCTGGGAGCAGTGGTGTCGCGCGACACATGTTCCAGAACCGGCATTAATCTGTTTGCTCTGCAGGACCGGCTGTTCATGGAGAACGTGGGCGCCGTCAAGGAGCTCTGCAAGGTGACGGACAACCTGGAGACGCGCATCGACGAGCTGGAGCGGATGAACCGCCGCCTGACCAACCTGAAGCGCCTGGAGAGGCTGGACAGCCTCAAGTCCGTGTCGTCCAGCGTGGCGCTGCGCAGCCGCAAGGGAGGCCCCTTCGCGTCGCTGGCGGACGGCACCATGTGCTCCAACAAGTTCATCCAGATCATCATCGTCATCCTGGTGCTCATCATGGCCTTCTGGTGAGGCGACCGCGGTACCCTCGTGCTTTCCCACGAAAGAACGTCATTCTAATTCCCCTCTTGCCCTTTGCTCGCAGCCTGGTCGCCATGGCCACGCTGTACTTCCTGGAGTTCCAGCGGCGCGGCGACAACTACGACGGCCCCACCGTCCGGCAGTCCGTGGTGCACGCCCAGGCGCAGGCCGCGCTGGAGACGACGTCGCGGCCGTCCAAGATGCGCCACAAGTCCGGGGCCGCGCCCAACAAGAAGAACGCCACCATGGCGCCCAACGTGTGAGTATACCAGACGCATGGCGAACAGGTAAACAAATCAGTTCCGAAAAACGAATGTCGCCGTTCTTTTGCAGCAAGCTGTCCAAGGCGGACCGCGACGATCTCAAGGGCGGCCGGCAGGGGGGGCGCATGGAGAAGACGGTGGCGCCCCCCCTGCCCACCACCGCCGCGCCACCCTCCTCCACGTCGCCCAGGGCCACGTCGCCGCGGACGCAGCGCCCCCCGCTGCTGGGCCGCCCCTCGCAGTGCGAGCGCGCCGACGCCGAGTCCTGCCTGGTGGGTCTCATGTCAGATTTGGTGGCGGAAGCACTTAAAAATGCCCCAGGATTCCGTGATTCTGCCGTCTTGCCGACAGGGCTGCCTCCGAGCGCCTGGAGGGTAGGCAGCGCTGAGACAGCCCTGTTCGACGGGACTGCATAAGCGCACGGCGTCCGCCCGGGATATTGTGCATCGCGCGTTTCGAGATAGTCGTGGTGCGTGTGCTTATCGAACCGAACTCATGACGCCCGGACCACTGTTTTGCAGACGTATTGCTGTGCGCCCGGCTCGCCCTCCGCGTCCGTCGTCGCGGTGCCCTCCAGCCCCGCGCCGCCGCCGGACCCGCTCACCAAGGCGACGGTAAGGCCTCCACCAAGCAGGAGGATTCCGAGGAGTCGTTTTGCTGTCTCTGTCTCGCACTCGCGAGGCTTCCTCACTCACGTCGCTGCCTCTCTCACTCCCGCCCTCTGCTCGCAGCCGCCCAGCTACATCAACAACAACGCGCTGCTGTCCGCGCGGCCGCAGCGCGCCGCGGACGAGCTCAACAACCTGTTCCCGGACGACGAGGCCGGCGGGCAGGACGCGCCGCGCATGGCCGTGGCAGTGCTGGGCTCCTCGCTGAACCGCACCCTGGGCCCCGAGCTGTGCGACCACACCGCCCCCGCCGCGGAGCTGGACGCGTGCAGGGGCCACACGGCGGGGCCGCACGGCAACTACTCGTACCTGGTGTACATCAGCCGCTACCTGGCCGACCCGGGGCTGCAGCTCCAGTTCAGGTGAGTCCCGATCCGGGCGGGCACCCCCGTGTGTACTGCGCGGCCGACTCACCGTGTCCTTGTGTCCGCAGCTTCTCGCGGCCCTGGCGGAGGCCCGAGCTGTGCAGCTCGACGGCAGCCTCGCCGTGCCCCAGCCGGAACAAGGCGCCCGCCGTGGACGCGGTGGGCGCCATCCAGCCGTCCGGCAGCCCCGCCGACGGCACGGCCAAGCAGCACCTGTCCCGGGGGGCGGGCGCCGAGGCGGGCGGCGACGCTGGGGGCGGCGCGAGGGGCGGGGCCGCCGAGCAGTACGTCCACACGGTCGGCATCGACCGCCACATCACAACCACGGCCATCTTCAGGGTGCCGGTGTCTGAGGCGTCAGGGGTAAGCCGCGGGTTCAATTACTCACGTCTCATACCGGTGTGGCACTTTTCTTGCCCCCAAAATAAACCCCACGTCCTTTCTGTTCTGTTCCAGGACCTGTGCGATCTACCGGCCAAGAGCCTGGGAAGCGATTTCCTGGAGTACCGGATCCAGTTCATGCGTCGCTGCGACGGCTAGACTCTGGCCGCTAGACGACGCGCGGGGCCGGCCCAACCCGTCGAGCCTCTTTGTGATACTTTGTCAACGCTGCATTTAGTGCTGCATTTTAGTCATTTTAGGTGATATTTGACCGGCCGCACCGCCCGCGCGGCACGCTCGCTGAGCGAAAGGACCTTCTTGGCGTGTCGCACGTTGGCGCGGTGCGGTGCGACTGGGTGCGATCAACTTAGAAAATGTTGCACAAAATCTCAACTTCTTTTCTGTTATGTGGCTGTGTTTAATTTTCCTTATCTTTTTTAAGTTTTCTTTCAAAACTTTGTAGTCTTTTTGTTTTGTAAACGTTTTATTTGTTAGCCTGAAAGAAGAAGGGTCCTCGCTTTTGCAGGGTTTTTGATGACCAAATACTATTGCAAGATAAGGTGTAAGGAACCAAGTCGCGCGTTTGTGAAATATTGGCGTATGCCTAAGTGATTTAAAGTTTATTCTATACTCTTTATTGTATGTATATAAAGCTCATTTGCTTGCATTTATTTTATTCTCGACACATTGTAACTAGAAAAGTGCCTTCCTCGTTAAAAGTTGCATTTTGTAAATAATATATGTATTTGTGATTGTAAGATTCGTGTAAAAGTTACGCAGTAATGATAGGACTTACTTAATGACCTGATGGTACAAGTAACTATGACCCTCGCCGCGTGCGACGTAGAAGCATTCTGCCCCGATAGGTTCAGCTTTGCGAGGGCCTTGTAGCTCAAGTTTTAGTTTAGGTTTTAGCTGAAATCGTCACCCGGTTCCTTGCCCGCAGCAGCTGGTGACACTGGTGACGGGACGCGCGGTTCCCGAACCTTGTCCGAGGTCCTTGCGTTATTTTTTTAATCCTCTTCCGAGTGGCGCGGCAGAGGCGCCCTCTGCGGGGACATTCAGACTTTGAGATAGTTAGAAGGAAGCCGGGCAACGTTTGCGAGGCGTGCTCGCTAGTGTCGGCGCGCGGCGGGGAGAGCGTCACCTCCATGACTGGGCTGTCCATGACACGCCCCGCTGCAGCCAGCGAGCGCTGCAGCCATTCCATTTTCTTATTTTTTCACATCCCTGTAATTTGTTTTAAGCGCAAATACCACAGCATCATTCTCACTTTGAAATTATTCCTTTTAAGTGCCGAGTACTTAATGGAGTTCGTCACGACTTGGCGCAGACACAATGTAAAAAGTGGAGGCAAAACACTTAAATGTGTGTACTTTTGCCCCGCGTGCGACGTGCGAGCGGTAGTGGTTGTAATCATGATTGTATTTCCTGTGCAATAATTGTAATAAGTGTAGAGGTGCGAATCAGGATTAGTTATGTTTTGTTTTGATTTCTATGTCTGCATTTTAATGGGCGTGGGTTCATTTCCCTGTGGGCCCCGCTACATAAAAATAATTCCTGTTACTGTTGTTAAATTTTTATCATTGTGAGGATGAGTCTCTTTTCTCTCTCTCTCTCTAATTTTGTTCTTTAGCTTTTGTGTGTACATTATATCCTAGACAAAGGCAATCCTAGTCATTTGCTAATCGCCACAAACCTTTCAAATTATTTTATGTGAGTTAGGACTTCAGTCAATATGAAAAGGAGACCTTCGAAACAGTTCTGCCCAATTTATTCAGTTAAAAATAGCGGTTTCATCAGGAATCAAATTATTTCCGATTTGAAACGAAATGAATTGTTTGGAGAGTAAGGTTGAGGTGGAATGTGCAGAGGTCTCTAGTTCCTGTGTTGCCAGTAGGAGTGGTGTTAGACATCTCAATGTATTAATCTGCTTGTCAGTACACGGTCTAAATGGTTTTGTTGTAAATCTACTGTAAATATAGTTTGTAAGACGACGTCCAGCTCAGTAGACGTTAACTCATTTTGAAAAGACATTTTATGTGAAATAACCTGTTGTGAATTTGGAGACGTGCTTTTCCGTGCATTTGCGGATGGTCTCGTTCACTCTAGCGGCACGTTCCGAAAAGAGCTTCGGCACGCTTTCTACCTAGAAACGACCAGTATCAGAAAACATAATCAAAACTTCTATGTCATGAATTTATTGTTTGTTGTATTTTTTCGCACTGTACGTTCACGCTCGTTAAGAGATTACTCAGAGATCCATATTGTAATTACTCTAGACATTAAGAAATATTACGCGTACTTGCCACACCGTTAACAAGATTTTATGGCAATGCGATCAACTACGTGGGAACCAATTTAGCGATTTGTACAAAACGTGTGGAATGACAGTGAGAATATGAAAACCAGCCGGGAAGTCACTTTGTGTTGCTCTTCAATTTACTGTCCCCTCATCCCTCACTGAACGAGTAGCTGTCGGTTGGCTTAAAGTAGTTACGAGTGCGCACGCCAGTACGTACAATCGGCGAAGGCAAGAATTGACCTTTACAGTAGCTTACCTCTAAAGCATACACAGCGGAATTACACCTACACTACACCGTCATCCTCCTGTACCACGGAGGTAAATACAACTTCTTCAATATGCCTCTGGATAAGCGGATCTTTTTTCCACGGCGGCGAAGCCACGGCCACGCGTCCACCACGCCGCCCCGCTCGTGACGCTGTCGGCACCGTGTGCAGGAGGCCCTGATGCGCCAGCTTTGCAGCAGGCTTTGCAGCAGGCTTTGCAGGGCCACCGAGCAAACACACTTAGGAGGAAATGTGGCCCAGCAACGACCTCGCAGCCACGGAGATAGATAAGGACCAGGCAGACCCGGTGTAGGGATAAAAGCTCCGAAGCCCGACCGCTAGAGCCAGAGTCGGCCGGAGTCACAGACCTTCGCAGACATGTCCAACCTGGCGTTCCTCGCGGTGCTGCTGACGGGCTGCTTGGTGGCGAGCAGCGTGCCCGGCGGTGCTGCAGCCGCGTCTTGGGGCCTCGTCGATGCAGGTGCGTACTCCCGCACGTGCCGGCCGTGTGCGTGTTGTGCTTGATCCTCACTGCCGCGTCCTGGCTGCTGTAGGGGGCGATCCAGCGGATGACCTCCTCAGCGCGATAGCGGTCCCGGAGCTCCTCGATGACGACGACGGCGCCGACGACGACCTGGAGGTGATCGACCTGAACGAGGTGCTGGAGAGCAGGGCGCAGGCCGGCGGCGGCGGCGTGGAGACGCAGCGCTGGAAGCCGAAGCTGAAGCGGTGCAAGGGCGGCCCCTGCAGGAGGAAGTGCAACGCCAAGGGCAAGAACGGCGCCTGCGCGCTCGTGTGCGTGTGCTGGAAGTAGGCGCCAGCGGCACGGCTTGTTTTATCCGCAAATATATTTATTTTCTCAATTTTACATTGAATCGGCATTGTGACTCCCGCCTCGCTCCCCATGAATGCGCGTGAGGGGTACCCCTCCCAGCGGGTACCCCTCCCTGCGGGTACCTCGAGAAGGCCCAGCCCGCGCGGCCGGTCTCGCCGCCCAGCCCCTCGGCCAGTCGGCCAGGCTGACTCAGTCCGTGCGCGGCCTCTGAGCGGCCCGGAAGACGAACGGCCGTTCCAGGACCGACTCACTCGAACCCTCGCGACCACACGAAGTGCAGTGCGGTGCAGTGCGGCGACAACCTCGCGCGACAACATGTGCTGCTGATGGGCTCCTGCAGGACACGCCAGAGGACGACGACGACCATGACGACGACCTTCCGCCGGTAGGTGGCACTTAGGTGCAGTAGGGGGCACTAGGTGCACTGAGTGCACTAGGTGGCTCGCAGAAGCCCAGATCGCGCAGCAGGACTCTGTGTCCACCGTCTGAAGTAGTTCAACTCCTCGAACCCAGCGTTGCAGGAGCGCTGACGCTGTGGCTGTAGACCCGCTGATCCCCGTACAGAACCAATCAGACTACCGCTCCACTCGTCAACTGTTTCGCCAGCTCTTCCGAGCTGTGTTTTAACTTTAGTATTGGTTGCCCTTCCGGCGCAGGCTGGCACAGGCCTCGTTGCGCCCGGCTTGGCGACGCACTGCTCGATGGCGTGCCGGCACGCACCAAGGGCCCCAAAGGGCCCCGAGTAGTTAGCGGCCCCGCGCCGCGCCGCCCGATGAAAGCAAGACCGATTTGGAAAGGGAAACAAGAGAAGAATGCTGCCGGCCTGCCGGCCCTGCGCATCCTCTCCGATCCCCTCGGCGGACAGGTGGGGCCCGCGCCTCAAGGGCCGCTCTGGGTCTGGGTCACGGACAAAGAAACGAAAGCGGCCCACCGATAAGACAACAACAACAGCAACCTGACCTGTCCCGCAGCATGCCGCACCGGACCGCACCGGACCGCCCCACAGCTGGACCGGCCGGCCGGGCCGCTGGGCGGGGCGGGAGGGCAGGCCAAGAGTCGTGGGTGGAGATACCCCGCGCCGCGCCGCCGGGCAGGCAGGGGGTATGGACTGCGGATCGATCGAGGGGTGGCTGGTGGGCCCGGGGTGCAGCCGGCACTGCACGGTGCACCCGGGCGGCCGCGGGCTGGGCTGTGCTGGGCTGGGCTCCTCCGCGGGATGACGATGGAGGGCGCTGCGCGTGTCCTAAGCTAACCCAAGATGGAAGCAAGTGTTGCCTGGACCGCTCAGACACATCATTTACCAGTGCGCCCACTAGTACAGCGGTTCTCAACCTTTCTCGGCTCGCGACCCCAAATTTGTAGCCAAAAATTTCCGCGACCCCCAGGAAAAGTTTCGCGACCCCACGGGACCCCTCCTTTAGCATGCCACTGCGTCTGATCCGAGGCGGGCATTTTGCTCCCTCAACGGGCAATTGGTCTTTGGACCTTCCTTTAGCATGCCTCTGTTACGGAGTGCGATTATCAGTCTTAGTTTGGGAGCAGTATTGTCTCAAAGTTGGCCAAAACGCTCAGAAATGTCTTTAAAAAATCATGTTTTGGGTCGATTTTAAGCAGCCACTGCGTCTGATCCGAGGCGGGCATTTTGCTCCCTCAACGGGCAATTGTTCTTTGGACCTTCCTTTAGCATGCCTCTGTTACGGAATGCGATTATCAGTCTTAGTTTGGGAGCAGTATTGTCTCAAAGTTGACCAAAACAGGCACAACGATTTTTCAAAGACATTTCTGAGCGTTTCGGCCAACTTTGAGACAATACTGCTCCCAAACTAAGACTGATAATCACACTCCGTAACAAAGGCATGCTAAAAGAAGGTCCAAAGACCAATTGCCCGTTGAAGGAGGACGAAATACCGCCTCGGGTCAGACGCAGTGGCTGCTTAAAATAGGCCCAAAACACGATTTTTCAAAGACATTTCTGACCGTTTTGGTAAACTTTGAGACAATACTGCTCCCAAACTAAGACTGATAATCACACTCCGTAACAAAGGCATGCTAAAAGAAGGTCCAAAGACCAATTGCCCGTTGAAGGAGGACGAAATACCGCCTCGGGTCAGACGCAGTGGCTGCTTAAAATAGGCCCAAAACACGATTTTTCAAAGACATTTCTGACCGTTTTGGTAAACTTTGAGACAATACTGCTCCCAAACTAAGACTGATAATCACACTCCGTAACAAAGGCATGCTAAAGGAAGGTTCAAAGACCAATTGCCGGTTGAGGGAGCAAAATGCCCGCCTCGGATCAGACGCAGTGGCTGCTTAAAATCGGCCCAAAACACGACCCCAGCTACCTCGCCGCGACCCCTTAAAATTTTTTCGCGACCCCACTTGGGGTCGCGACCCTAAGGTTGAGAACCACTGCACTAGTACCAATCAACTCTAGCTTAAAGTGAAACCCTTCGGGACGGCCCGGACCCGTGCCTCCTTATCCCATTCCACCGGCCGCGCGCAGTCGCGCACCCTCGCCACGCCCGCCCGAGCACCGCGCCGCTCCACCCCACCGCCCTGTCATGCATTGTCACACACGCGTCGTCACGCGTTTGTCACGCGCCGACGGCCAAGTCTGTTTTCACCGTCGGCGTGTCTCGAGCGAGCGACCGTTTGGTGCCGTTTGGTCGACCTTCGGAAATTGGGCCGCCGATAGTGCACCGGAAAAAAATAATGAGTAAACTGCAGTGAGTAAAGTGCAGGGAAAATCTCCGAGATGAGACCAAGATCAACAGCCGAAGCCGAATTTTAATGCCACCCACTATACTTGTTTTGGTCGACAGTTGACGATTAAATAATAACGTCATGGAAAATTTTAGTACGTCGACGCGTCGTGCGCTTTTCGTGTGACTGTACGCGGGTTGGCTTTCCATGTTTTCATGTTGGTAGTGTTTGGCACATGGGAGACTTCGCCGACCACGCGAAGGGCGCACGCAGCGGCATGCCTGGCTGGCCGGCCTGGCGGTCCACGCCGTCCACGCTCCATTTCGCGGCGACATGGCGGCACGGCGACACGGCGACACGGAGGACACGGAGACATGGCCGCGACGTGACATTAACCTCGATTATGAGGGAAGCCCCTCCCGTAACGACACGAGAGGGAAATGAAAGGACTTTCGCTGGCGGCGTCCTCCAAGGCCGCTTACATTTCGCGGTGATTTCGGTTCGGCCGCGAAATTGGAGCCGCGGAGCGGATTATTGGCCGGGGGGGGGGGGGGGGGGGGGGGCGGGAGGGGCCTTCCGTGAGGATGACGAGCAGAGCAGCCCGGCCAGTGACTCCTCCGGCGTCTTATTTAGGACCGCGATGCTCCAAACGAGCGGTTCCTGTAATTGTAGCTCCTTTCTCTCCCAACAAGCATCAGAGCATCAGGTCGGATTCATCTCACTCTTGAGCACACTGCTGTGTTTTCATTCCAACAACTTATAGCTTTTGATTATTTTTTTCTCACGACGGGTGGCTTAGGAGTCTAAGCCTGAGGAGGCGTGCAGGTGCGATCAGGTGTCCCAGTCACAGCGGGCTAGGTGTAGAGGGCCAGGCAGGCGGCGAGGCGGGCTAGGAGACTGCTTGTCCCGGCCGGCGAGCCAAAGCGGTGGCAAGTCCCTGTGCGGGGCAGTGCGGGGCGGGCTGGCGGCCGGGCAGGCTGGGTCGCGGTGCAGCCGCGCGACCCCGATAAAGGCATGAAGCAGTGGAGTGGGCCGATTCGCCGCTCTGTCTCTCTCCCACCCCCAAGGGAACGCCAATGAGAGAGAGACAGAGCGACGAAGCACTATTTCGGATTCAGCCTGCTGGACACGGCGGCACAGCGCGTGCGTGCAGGGGTCGCGCGGAAAACAACTCAGCAAGGGACCGTTAACGCGAACCGACACACTGTGCGCTGTTTAGAGAAAATTCCACACTTGGTGTGTGGATTTATATTATTTTCCTCTTGGACTTTCGGTCTCGGCCAGTGAACGACAACAGCAATCAACGTCGGGGCGCGTCCTCGCCGTCGGCGACCCGAGGCGCCACCCCACTGTAACGGCAGAAATAATAAGGCGTCCGTGTCCGCCCCGCGTCGGGCTGCGGGACTGCGGGACTCCGGGCCCTATTTTCGCCACGGGACGGACGCGACGGCAAAACCGTGGCAAAACCCTCACTAGGAATGCTGGACTCGCTTGTCAATTCGCGTCAACATCCAGATTAAGAAGCAGAGATGGATGTGTGAGTGTGTGTGTGTGCGTGTGTGTGAGGCGCACCTGACGGAAAGGTGAGGGGGAGCGGAGGGGGGTCGCGTCTGGAGTGCGCCCGCCTGTCGCGTGGCCTGCTTTTCTTCAGGAACCTGTTTTTGAGAAGAGCATCGGCCATCTCTGCTCGGCGGGGAAGAAGACCGTTTCCTGCATCCGCGCTTAGCGGCGGCCCCTCGTGGCCTCTAGCAGGACGGACAGGCGGATAGGCAACCCCGGCCAGGGCGTGGCGGCGCGGCTCGCGGACGGACCCTAACGGGACCGTGCCATGCGCGAAGGCTGGATGCAGGGAAGTCCCATACAGTCGCGAAATCGAATGCCGCGTCGCCGCGCGGTCGCCGTTTCGCACGGCGGGGCGCGGCGTTTCTAGGACTGCCGCGCCGTTTGAATCGCCTGAAATGCGGGGCGTCGTCGGCGAGGTGTCGGGGCCGGCGCCGTGCTCCGGACGCCAGACCGCCACCGGACAAACCGGCCTGGCGGTGGACTCGCTCATTACTTTTGCCCTCCGCGTCGTACGCCGTGCCTCGTGCATGTCCATGGGAATCGGTTTCCATTTCGGATGAGGCCGTTTATGCAGTCCGCCGCCATTCGAGCGATTCCGTCGCTCTGTCTCTGTCGCACGCCCGCGGGACGCCTGGGGACGCCCGCGAGTGCGAGGAGGGACAGAGCGCGACACATGCATGACTGGGACGCGGCGACGACGCGCTGCTCCCGTTCGGCTTGGTTCATCCCGCCCCGGTTCCCACTGCTTGCTCTTTGCGCGTGGACCGACTGGAGCCTGGAGGTGACGCCGCGCCGCCTCGCCAGCCGCCCGTTTTATGGCCGTCCAGCGCCTCATCCTCGTCCCCGCTCCGCCGCGGCGTATGCATCCATGCATCCAGGACGGCGGCGTTCCCACCACAGCCACCAGCGGCGATCCAAACTGAAAAAACTCCGCGAAAACCGGATGACAAATATTGAGATTTTAATAAACCTATTTGGAACCGGATACCAGACCGGTTTGTTGAATCGCACTAGGAAAACGGAGGCAGACAGATGGGAGTCTGGTGGAATCGGATCGGTGCGTGGCTCTGAACCCGGGACTTGGCCTGTTCCAGGACGACGCTGCTGCTGGCGCTGCTGGTGCTGGGCGCGGCCGCCGAGGCCGAGGAGACGGGCGCCGGCTTCCTGCAGTCCGTCATGAGCCGCATCAACGGCAAGGACCCCGACGCCCCGCCCGCCAACGACCTCGCGCGGCCCGTGGCCGACCTCAAGTAGGTCCCTCTCGCGCACCCCGGCCTCCGCGGCACGGCCTCTGCGCTGCGACTCACTGCTCTGCCTGCTCCAGGGCGGCGCTGGAGAGGGTGTCCGCCACCATGGCCGCGTCGGGGATGGACATCGGAGCGTCGCCGGCGGCCTCGGGCCCCGCCGCAGCCGCGTCCCACAACGCCGAGATCCTCGCCTTCCCGCCGAACGACCCCATGCTGGACGGGCCTCCCTACGTGCTGGCAGTGAGTACGACGAGGACGACGTGCGCGTGGCGCCGCGACTCACACTGACCGCCCCGACACTCCGTGTGCTGCAGCCGACGGCGGAGACCCCTCTGGCGCTGGGCTCCGCGCCGAGCCACAGCTACAGCCAGGGCCTGGGCGCGCCGCCGCCGATCCAGGCGCCGCCACTGAGCAAGGACGAGCTGGCCGCCGTGTACCAGGCCGTGGCGGACAAGGGCGTGCAGCTGGACCTCGCCGCCGTCAAGGGCGGCTTCATCCCCGGCGCGCCCGGCCAGCCCGCGCCGCTCAGCCAGGTGCCCGTGGGCGCCGACCAGTCCGGCTACTACTACTACTTCTTCCCCATCCGCGACCTGGCCGACAAGAACCCGCAGAACGCCCTGCAGTCCCCGCAGCAGTTGCAGGCGCAGCAGCAGCTGCAGCAGCTCAACGCGGGGGTAAGCACGCGGCCAAATGCGCAGACAGCGCCGCGAGGTTCCTCGTACTAAACGCAGCTGACCTGTGCCCTGTGCAGCCCTCGGGAGGGGGCGAGATCGACAAGGAGACCGCCATGGGCATCATGGCGTCGCTGGCCGGGGACCCCAGCGCCCTGATGCAGGGCAACGACGGCAACAAGTCGGTGGAGCCCCTCTTCATGGCCATGTCGGGGTTCATCGGCATGACCCTCATGTTCGTCATGTCGGTGCTGTTCCTGCCCAAGGTAAGCGAACTGCCGCCCGTCGGGTAGGCAGCCCATTTGGCTGGCCGGTGCGGCCGAATGTGGCGTGCCCGGCGCCTCGACCACTAACAGTTCCTCCGTCCGCCAGTGGGGGGCGCTGCGGTCGCGCGGCGTGACGGCGCTCAAGCACGCCCCGGACGAGCTGGCCTCCCTCACCAAGCTGGTCGTCCAGTCCATCGAGGGCAAGGACTGCAGCGAGCGCATCGCCTGCGAGGTGGGCCGCGCCGTCAGGACCATGCACCTGGGCAACAAGCCGCTCAAGTAAGAGTTTCCCCAATCTGTGCCTGTCTCTGTCACTTGTCTGCCCTGCATTTCCTGGTGTCCGCTAACTCGGTGTATGTTCAACTCGCAGGGTGCTGGAGATCATCCTGCCGCCGCACCTCAGCAAGCAGATCAGCCACATCCGGAAGGCGGTGAAGAAGGCCGAGAAGTGCAACTTCATCCCGTGCAAGTACCCGGCCTGGTACTCGGCCAGCACGGCCAAGCCTCCCTTCACCATCACCAAGCCCACCATCTTCAAGCCCACCGTCTTCAAGCCCACCGTGTTCAAGCCCACCGTCTTCAAGCCCAGCATCTTCAAGCCCGGAATCTTGAAGCCGCTCATCGACAAGCTGCCCACCAAGCTGCAGCCCTCCGCCACGTCGCCCAGGCCCATCGATGCCCGCAGCACGCCGCGGTCCAGGCCCTTGCCGCAAGTCAAGCTCATCCTCAGCAAGAACAACGAAAGGCCCAACAACAATAACAACAACAACGTCAACAAAAGGAAGGGCCCCAAAGCTGGCGCCCCCACCGCGCACCCAGCCAGGGACAGGAGTGCATCCCCGCTGGATGAGGAGGTTGCTCCCACCGCCGCCGAAGTCTGAAAAGTTCCCAAAGAAGACGCGTCGCGTCGCCGAACTGCAATCATTAATTTATTTGATTAGTACTTTAAGACGTAGTCATAGAGTGGTTGTGTAGGTCACGTGGATTAACCAGCTGGCTTGTTTTTTCTTGTGTCAGTGTTCCTGAGCCCATGGCGCTGCACGGGATACTGACATTGACTTCTGAACAGGCCACCTGGTTGATGGGCCCTAGCGGTGCTTAAAACTCGCGCTGGAGGCTGGATAACCTTCCATTTTGGAGGAGAAAGAGTGAATGTAATTTATTTTTGCGTGCTTGTTTTGTGGAATGCTTGTGAAACTCCGAAGTGGGATTGTTATACGAATAAATCCGTCCGTATGAATGCTTGGCAATATTATTTACAAACAGTTGGCACTATTTACAAAGATTTACAATAATGGTAATGCAGTAACAATAATCTTCGGTAAAATGCACAATGCACAACAGCATTATTTCTTGACACTTACAAAATAAAAAAATAAAATACTTTCAACCACCTTGGGAGGGATGATCGACAAAAAACAGCAGTCTTTTACTTTTAATGTCGTTCAAGGAAACAGCACTGACGCCTCGCCTGTTGGCTCGGATCGATTGGCGGAGCACTATGACTAGAAAAACCCACAGCATGGCTACTGCCACCCCCAATATCACATTGACTGCCCAGGCGGCCCTGGTGGATCAGCTCCTCCGCGATGTCCTTCGTCCTTGTGCGAGAGTTGCGGGATTGTGCGGGTGTCTCCGTTCCAGCGGAGAAGTCGCTCAGTCCAGCTCCACTTTACCCGTGTTTGGCAGCAAGAAGCACAAGCCGCCAGACGCTGGAAAACAACATCCGAAATGAGTTAAGACCTCGTCAGAGGGTTGGGTTAGGTTCTGTCAGGGGTTCAGTCCGCTCACCGAAGAGCATGGCGGCGAACAGCGCGATGGGCAGCACGCAGTTGATGTCGATGAGGTAGCTGAAGACGAGGTTGCCGAAGAGCGCGCCGCCGCGGCCGAAGGTGAGGGACAGCGCGGCGGCCATGACGCGCAGGTTGGTGGGGAACAGGTCCACCATGACGCAGTACACGGTGCTGATGCCGAGGCTGGTCAGCGCCTCGAAGATGCACGACAGCACCAGGTTCTGCGTCGCGTTGGTCACGAAGTAGAGGCCCACGGCCACCATCCCCGACACCACCAAGCTGAACACTGCAAGGTTTACGCAAATGATTGTGTGTTTCGGTTCAAAGTGGCTGGACCCTTTACGAGGCGCTCCGCGGCTTACCCAGGAAGAACTTGGCGCCCAGCCTGTGGACGCACAGCGGCAGCCAGAAGCTGGTGGGGATGCAGGCCAGGCCCACGATGAGGGTGTGCAGGAACACGGAGTCGTCGATGTGGTTGGGGCACGCCAGGGACTCCGTGGTCTCCAGGACCGCGCCCGACACCTCGCACACCGAGGCCCTCTCGTCGGGGTGCGTCTTGGAGAAGGACTCGAAGCGGTCGAACAGCTCCGGGAACCACATCATCAGCGTGTAGTAGCTGACGGGAAGAAGGTTAGAAACGGGAGCGAAAATGGTAATCAGTTTGCAGAGTCAGTGAAGTACCTGGTGGTGAGCCCGAACTGGATGAGGCAGGTGAGCACCGTGTAGTAGCGGTGCGGCGGCCGGCACAGCTGCTTGGTCTGGTCCCACACCTCGATGACCAGCAGCTTGATGTCCTTCGGCGTCCGCAGCGACCGGATGCTCTTGATGCTGACTCGCGAGGTGGTGCTCACCATGGACATGGTGCGCGACCGGGGCTCTCGCAGGCTCCTCACCTGCAGCACGACATGTAGCTTTAGCCACAGTGCAGGGACATGCTGGGGAGGCGAGCTGAAGCGACACTCACCGAGTACTCGCTCTTGGGGCGGCCCGTGTTGGTGTGGAACATCTCCTGCAGCACCTCCAGCGCCTCCTCGTACTCGCCGCACTCCAGCAGGAACTTGGGGCTCTCGGGGTAGACGGCGAGCCAGGCCGCGATGACGAGGGACGGCAGCGCGCACACCGCCACGAACAGCTGCCACGAGCCGAACACGAAGTAGTCGTTGACGATGCGCAGCGGCAGCGGGATCACCAGCCACGCGATGCCTGCAAGCAGCGGGGCGTTAGCGGGGCGTTGCAGCGCGGTCTGCGGTTCGAGTACCGACGGCAGCCGAGGACTGTTTCATTTTACCTGGGAGTAGGATGATGCCACAGGTCCAAAACAGCTCCATCCAGCACAGGATCTTCTCCCTGTAGACAGTGGGCTGAAACTCGCCCAGGTACGGAAACACGATCCCCATGGCGCCCGTAATTCTGTAAACATTGGCCATTCCAGATGAGTACTTTCCTTCGCTCACCATTCCGAAACGGCAAGGCGAAAATGGGACATTGGTGTAAGCCTACCACTCACGCGAATCCATTGAGGAAGCGCAGGAACATGAAGAGGCCGTAGAACTGCGCCACGGAGCTGGCGATGCCGCAGACGCCGTCCATCACGAGGGTGGCGATCAGCACCACCTTGCGGCCGCGGGTGTCCGCCAGGCAGCCCCAGAAGTAGGAGCCCAGCACCATGCCTGCGACCCCCAAATACCAGAGTGTTCATTCCGTTTCGCTTTGCTTCGCTACTTTATTTCTCTCGAAGGCGGACGCACCGAGCATGGGCGCCGCGTTGAGCCAGCCCTTCTTGGGGCTGTCCATGTCGAAGTCGCACTGCGCGGCGGGCAGCACGAAGGACAGGATGGTGATGCCCATGGCGGTGTCCAGGTACACGAGGCCGCACAGCGCCATGAGGCCGTAGTGGAACCGGCCGAAGCCTGGGAACAGCGCGAGGAGCGCGCCACTCAAAAACCGTTTTTGGCGCCATCTATCGGTCATTATCTCAAGTAGCGCGGCAGACGGCGGACCGCGGGCCGCGCCAGACGAGGCGCAGACGTGGCGGTCAGCGCCGCCAGGGCGCCGCCAGTGCCCGCCCTCTACTCACCGGTCTCGGTGACGGCATGCTCGAAGGTGGCGCCGCCCTCCACGAAGTCAAGGCCTGCGGGATGGGGAACAACACACGTTACTCAGATTGAAGCTGTCACTCCTCTGACCCGGACAGCCTGACCGACGCAGCGTAGGGCACGCCATGGGGCACGCCGGTTACCGAACGCAGGCCGTTTAAGCGCGCCCCCCTTTGAACTTGACGAAGGTGAGGAGGACGACAGCGCGACAGCGCGGCTCGGCAGCCCAGCCGGCCAGTCCAACCCGATAACGCCCCGGTACAGACAACGACACGGACGAGGCGGCCGCGATTCAAATCCCGTGTCAGATTCCTTTTTTCGGCGCCAATCGGCCGCACAGTGACGACCGCGTGCGTGCCCCCCGCGCCTCTCGCCCGACCCGAACCCGGCCAGTGCCGAGGCCGAGGGCAAGGGCAGCCCGACTTCCTCCTGTGCGCCGCCTGACTCACCCATGTTTTGGTTGGGGTTGTATCCGGACGTGCGTCCTGCGGAGCGCGGCGGTTATCGGCACGCAGCGGAGCGCGCGAACCCGGGGGCCATTCCCAGCCGAGACTGCGGGCCCGCGGGGCCGCGGGGCCTACCTGGTTAGAGCCGATTTGATAATGATCTCGACTCGAGTGCGGTCGCGCGGCCGCCGTCTGCGATTGGGAGGCCAATGGCAATCGGCGGAGTGTCCTGCAGGTGCAGGGTTCACTATCCCGGCCAACTTCCTAGTGGCGTGGGGGCGTCAGTGGCCGCCAGTGGGAGTGGGTGCATCCTGCGGGTATTTTTCCAGTCTAGAAAGTCGATGGTCATCGAGGCAGACAGTGTCTCAACGCCTTTCCTGACGAGAAGACAACCGTGTCTCGTATGTTCACGAATGTGGGAATAAAACAAATCCTGAAACGGCGCGCCGCGCCTTTGGCCGGGGGCCGCGCGACGTGTATTGCGCCGTTATTCGCACGACGAAGCCCTCTATCGCTATCCGCAGCGGAGCGGACCTTCCCCTGCCCCGCCGAGGGCGGCAGGCGCAGTAAATCCAAATTGGCGCGAACCGTGCCGCTCATTTACATGCCGTTCGGTCGGCATTGACTCCCTTTTAGTGTCGCAGCCAAACGGCCCGCCGGCAAGCCTGCTGGGCTGGGGGCGCGTTGGCCGCGTCCACGTTGCGCCTACCGGGCCCAGCCAATTTGTTGCCGCAGCGCGCTGAAATGCGACGAGCCAATGTTGTCCCGCTTTTTCGAGCCCTCGCCGCGCGCTCAGTGACCCCATTCGCTCTTGCGATCGCGCTAGCTCGGCCCGCAAGGCCACAGTGTGCTGCCCATTCAAGAGGCGGTAGGCAAACAGCGGGCCTGCAGGTCACTCAAACTCCCCCGGCTGCCCCTTCCACCCCCAGGTATTGAGCAGCGAAGCCGTACGACGCGCCCCCTCCTTCTGTTTCTTTCTCGTCCCTCTCCGCTAGGCCGACCAGCCTGACCCTCAATCCAAGCGCCCCCGCCCGCCCTGCCACCCTGCCTCGCCCCGCCTCGCCCGGCCCCAGCTGGGACGCCTGCAGCCGCTCCGGCGGAGACGTTTGCGCCGTCCAGACAATTAAGCTAACCACCGCGCCTTTCCAGACAGCCCCATCCCTCTCTCCCGCCCCCAGCGAACCCCAGCGTCCCTAGCCACCCCTAGCGGCCCGCAGTCCTCTCACTCCCAGCGCGAACTCCCGGACCGGCGGCGGCTGGACTATGGAGGCTGGGCTTTCTTGGCCGGGCAGTCACAGGGACTGGAGTTCACCGGCCAAAGGCCTTGCAAGGACGGTGGCACCATGATGGACTTTGACGAGTTTTCGATTCGGATGGCTCTTTACACTTCACACTTGAAAAACTAAGGCGTGACGTCGCGCTTTATCCTGACAACTCTGTGCTTACAGAACTTACGGTCTTCTAGAAGCGTACAGTTCTAATATTGCGCTTAAGCTTTTACAACGAATCTCTGTGCTGCCCCCAGAGACAGACTGGGAGCCTTTTTCATACAAAATATCCGGCTTGCAACCTCACCGCCTGACACCGAACTGGGTCTGTGGGTCCGCCGGCCGTCTTTTGGCGAATGAGACTGGCCTCGACCTCGAGACTATTTGGAAGAGATCCACATGCGTGGCGGTTCATACCGGTTGTCCACGTGCCCGGCTGGGCTGGACTCTACCTGACTACAGCACCGCGCCGCCGCCGTCGTCAAGCAAGGCGACGTCCTGGGCCGGGCCTCGGCTCTCACCTCTGTCACCGAACGCGCCGTAGTGGAAGGAGGGCACGGCGAGGTGGTGCATGGGCAGCAGGGGCTGCGCCTCCAGTTCCAGCAGCCCCCTGTCGGCGCGGCCGCCGTCGGGGCGCTCGGGGCTGGGGCACTCGCAGCTGGAGTCCAGGACCATGGCGACGGCGCGACGGCAGTGGCGGACGGCGGTCTAGTTCAGCGGGACGACTCGTCGGCGAGCAGCATTCGCACGGCTGGGGCGCCTCGGAACCGCCACCGGCACCTCTCACATAGCGACCACAGTACAGTGCTGTGCCGAGAGGGGCACAACCCGGACGTGGCACCTCGACTTGGCCAACAACAACAACAACAACAATGGCAAGACGCCGTGGTGCTCGCGGCCAGCGGGTCCGGCGTGGACTGGCGGGAGGCTGCGACCACGACGGCCAGCCCGGCCACCCGGCCAGCACCGCGATGACACGGAGATGATGCAGAGCAGGGAGGGGGCGGCGGGGCGGGCTGACCGCGTGGACCGTCAGCTGATAGGGAGGGCGGCGCGTACACTGGGCCGCGTGCCCGGCCGCACGGCCGCACGCACACGGCCAGGACGACGTGCAGCAGGCCGATACCGTTTTCGTGGCCGTCTCTCTGGGCGGTAGCGAACACAGGTGCGAGAGAGACAGAGCTTTGGAATGAGTGAGCCCGGCCAGCCCGGCCAAGGAGGGCGGGTATCGGCATGGCCGGCATGGCATAGCCGGGCGAAGGGCGAAGCAGGCCTGCAATAAGGCAGGGAAGGCAAGGCAGGGGGAGGCGCGCCTAGGCGTGGAAGCCGCTTAGGAGGCGTCGCTGCTGTGAGGGACACGATGACAGGGAGTAGCCAGCTCTGTTCATCCGCCCCCGTCCTCCGCGTCCTGCCCTCCGCGTCCTGCCCTCCCCCTCCCCGACAATCCTCTCTAACTAAAGCCCCGCCGGGGTGGCGCCCCCTCCCCCCGCCGCGCCGCCCCCGCGCCGCCCCTGCCCCCGGCGCCGTGGGCAGCGTTGGAGGGCGCGGCGCATCGCGTCGCCTCGCCAGACCGTGGCCGGACTTTGTCCCGTGACTCCGCCAGCCTCCGTCAGCCACCGTCGGCCCGCGTCGCGATGCGTCGCCGTGCTGCGCCGTGCCCGCGTGCCGCGCTCGCGCCGCGCGTTCCCGTGTGTGAGTGTGTGCGTGCGTGAGTGCGTGTGACATGGCGAGGAGGCGCGGAGCAGCGTCCGCCACCACCTGGGCGACCTGGGCGCACCGGGCCTCGGCCTCCACCAGCGCCGCCAGGGCGACCACGTCGCGCCGCAGCAGGCGCCCGGCCCCCGAGTCGGCCCCCACGTAGCGCGGTAGCGCCTAGCGGCCGGGCAGCCTGCGCACCACAGGTCAGCACAACAGTTTCGGGGCCTCGGCCTCGGCCTTGCCTTGGCGAAACGAAATAACTGCAGAGCGGGCACTGCGTCGGCGGGGCGCTTTGACGCGTGAGACAGTGCCGACCCCGCGATTCTCGTTGTTGTGCATTGCGCGGCAAGGGTTGGGTCGTCGTGTCCGCGGTGCCGCCACCACGTCGCCGTCGTCGCCGTCCTCCACGCTTGGCCGCGCGACCCGCCATAAAATGTTGCACACTGTCTGCCCGGTCCACCGCGGACTCGGATTATGAGACGCTGATTACTCTTTCACGTCTTTCACCGATTACTCAGAACGGACGCGCAACAGCGTAATGCATAAGACAAAACGGTCGAATAAAACAGCGGCCGCCGCACACTTCGACCCTGCGAGGACCGCGACGACGACGCGACGACGGCGCCGCGGGGTTCCGCTACATTGCCGCGGCCGCTCCGATAGAACACCAAAAGAGATGAAATCTGTCCGTCGGGGGAGGGGAAGGGGTGGCAAGGCGCCTGCCAGGCCGACGGTACTCCCGTGGGGACGGCGGGGGTGGGAGGCGCGGGGGCGGCGCGGGGGCGGCGCGCGGCCCGGTGACGGATGCGCAGCCGTTTGTACTCGCTTCCGTTGACACCGCGGCTGCCGCGGCGGAAGCTCGTCTGATTGCAATTTGTTTAATTGGAGGCGCTGAAAACAGAGGCGCTGCGACAGTCTGCACAGTCGGCGCGGAGTAACCTGAGCCTGGCGGCCTGGCGGTGCGGTGCATGTCGCTTGTATTACTCCGCGAAAGACGATCGCGATGGCTTTGGATGCAAGCCGCCCCCGCCGCGGCGCGCCCCGCGCCTGGCCACGCTGGCCCTTGCGTCAACACGGCCGCCACTCCAGCATCGATTGGAGAGTGGCAGAGTGGCGCTGCAGCGGCAGCGCGCCGGACAAAGCGAACGCCAGGACCAACAAGTTGCTGCCCCGTCCTCCATCAGGGCTCACTTGCTGTCGTTTTTTTCTGTCTCGGCTGTCCGCGCGGCGTGCGGCTCCAGGATGGCGGAGAAGCTCCACGAGTACGAGGGCGTGCTGGGCCGCGTGCACGCGCTGCGGGACCGCGTCCGCGGCGTGCTCGACGACTGGCGCGAGTCCCGGGGCGGGCGGCCGCTCGGCGAGTGGCTGCTGGCCATCATCAAGGAGCACCAGCCGCCGAGGGAGGAACACACGCCAGTGGAGCCGCCGCCCGGCATCCTCGGCGACAACTACGCACACATCTACAGGTGCGCCAAAGTCTCCAATTTCGTTGTCAAAGTGTCGACGAATTCTATGTTGCTGCCTTTTGGTGGTCCTTGCGTCCAACACAGCTGTGGTTAAAGGCCTGCCTCAACGTTCTGGCACACCTCACCTAACCATACATACTTTGGAAGCGCGGACTTGCAAAGTTCTCAAAATGTCGAAAAACCCATTCATGGTGCATATTTATTCGAAAACAGAACAACGAAATAACCGGCCGCCCCTTTGCAGACGGAAGACCCGCGCCGAGCTGGTGCGTGTGTCCGCCGCCGTGATGGGCATCGAGTTCTCGTACGCGGCGGAGACGGCCTTCGTGTCGCCGACGCTGCTCAAGATCGGCGTGGAGCACAAGCACATGACGCTGGTGTGGGCGCTGTCGCCGCTCGTCGGCTTCTTCCTCACGCCCGTCCTGGGCTCCCTGTCGGACCGGTGTCGCCTGCCCTTCGGCCGCCGCCGGCCCTTCATCGTGGTCCTCGCCATCGGCGTCCTCGTCGGTAAGTCGCGCTGCGCGTTGCGCCGAAACGCGCCTATTTACTCACCCACTGCTTTCGGTTTACGACCGCGAGTCTATTGATAGATACGCGAGACTCGGCGAGACGGCTATCCGCGCCACCGAAAGAGAACGCAAACACGGGGTGCGTGCGGTGACCCCGCGCGGAGGGTCGCGGGTTCGACTCCCGGTGGCGCCTGGCAGCGTGCGCGTCACGGCCCGATAGTGCTTTAATTTGTCGGAGCGACTAGTTTGGGCGCTGAGCGATAACGCGGCGCTGACCCCGCTGCCTCGGTATCTACATCGAGTGCATCGAATTTGCGTCGGGCGGCGCGGCGGCGCGTTTTCCGCGGCTGGCTTGTTGACGGCGGGCCGACGGGCCGGGCCGCGCTGGAAGCCTTGCGCTGAGCCGATAACGCGCTGCAGCCAGATAGGGGAAAGGACTCGGCGTTTCCACTGGGCGCGGAAACTTTTTCCCGGCCCACTGTTTTTATTCAGAGTGTTAAAATGGTTGACTTTCCCGGCAGGGCTGATACTCGTCCCCAACGGCGAGGACATGGGCCACTCCATGGGGGACTACTACCCGTCCAAGGACCTCCCCGCGGCCAACCGCACGGCGCTCCTGGCCGCCGGGACGCCCGTCAACGACGCACAGTACTCGCATCCCTGGGGGGTCTTCTTCACCATCCTGGGCACCGTGCTCCTGGACTTCGACGCCGACGCCTGCCAGAGCCCCGCCCGGGCCTACCTGCTGGACGTCACCGTGGCCGGTAAACTGGTTGCCCTGGCCCACTGCCTGGCCAGCTGGCCAGACACGCGGCCCTTGCTCGGCGGGAGCCGCGGACGCCAGCACACCAACAAAACGAAACAAAAGCAAAACGCTCTACCTTGAACCTGGGACTCTGCGGCTCCCTCGGCTCGCGCCGCTCGGCCCAGCCCCTGCGCGACGGCCCTGGCGACGGCCGGCCGCGGCCTTGGAGTGACCTTGTCCCGGAGCGAGTGATAATGTTGTCACTCGACCCGCCGCTCTCGCTTTATTTTACACGTTCGCCGAGAGAGCCGAATTTCAATCCCAAAGTATTTTTTACGAAGTTTGCCTATGTAGAGACTGGCTGAACTGAGTCAACTGCTGCCAGACAGAATTTTCCCTTTTCGGAGCGATCGCTCGGAAAAGGCCGGGCGCGTGTGTGTTGGTGTGTTGGCATGTTGGTGCGGTCTCGGCCGGCTGCGGCTGGTTGCGGCTGGTTATCGCTCAGGCGAAGCAGGCCGGGTCCGAGATCGAACGGCAGCCGGCCGAACCCCGCGTGGCTGGCGTTACTCGAGCGGCAAGGAAACGGCACGCTTTTATTTGTTGTCATTCCATTCCAAACAATGACTATTAGATCGGCACTTTGCTTATTGATGGAAGTTATCGTCCATACGACATAAAAGCACACGTCATGCGTGACAAAAAAAAATCGGGACATTCGGGCATTGAATCATCGTCCCTTGATAACCCCGGTATCTCTAAAGCCTTTGTCTCAATGACTCATCTGCATCAAGAAAAATGCTTAGCAAGAAACAGAGGTTTTAAATTTGCATACTTTTTTTTCAGAGGATCACGCTCGGGGCCTCAGCACCTTCACCGTGATGGCCGGCCTGGGCGGCTTCCTGGGCTACGCCCTGGGCGGCATCAACTGGGACGCCACCGCCATCGGTAGGCCGTCTTTTCATTTTGTTTTGTTTCCCAACGAGTATTTGAACCCGCGCGGCGCTGCGCTGTGGACGCGTCGTTGTTAGTGCACGCACTGCGCACGTGATTGTGTTGGCGATGTTGAGCGCGGTCAGTTACAGTCTACAACGGCTAAATACGGGTTGCGTCATGCCCACTCCCCCGCCTCCCCACCCCTTTGTCACCTAGTCCCCGCGCGCCGCGCGCCGCGCCCGGTCGCCGCTGAGATATCGACGCTGCTGCCAACCATGGCGGCGATGCCCACTCCGCACATCCGCTCCGCACACCGCACCGCACTGCCCGAGGCACTGCCCCACAGGCAGCGGGCCGCAGGGCCCCCGGACCAAGTTCAGGGCAGTGCAGCGGGGAGCCCCGCGTCCCCGTTGCAACACGCCCTGCAGAGCATGCTGGCCAGGAAGCGGCGCGGAGTGACGTCTAACTGTTCCTGGTATCAGCGTGTTGATGTTGACGAGCAGGGCGAAGGGCCCGGCGGCGGCGGCGTCATCGAGGAAAACCACTCGATTAATTAAACTAGACAAATATCGCGGTTATCGACTGATCGGAGAAGCTTCCTGAAAACAGGCGGGTCGTGTGTCGCGATGACTCGGCGCGGTGCACTTGTTGGCGTTGAGGCGGTGCGGCCCTCGCCGCGGTCCTCGCTGTGACCACCCCGATGGCCCGGTGCCTCGCAGTGCCTAGAAGTGCCTCGCAGTGCCCAGCGAGTAATCAGATTACTGTAATTAGGGCGAGCTGCCTCTGCCTCCGCCGCCAGCAGGCCGCCTGCCCCTGGGGAGCCGGGAGCCGTCTTTAACAAGGCGGCCCGGCGCGGCGGCGGGGCGGCGGGCCGTATGCACGGGGCGGGACGGGCGGCCGGGCCGCGCCGGCAGGGTAGGCCGCCCAGCCGACGCGCACGCCCGCTCGGCAGCCCGCCCCCGCGGCGGCGCGGCTCAGCCGACAGGCAGCGGGCAACGGCCGTTCGGACGAGATCCGCGCTGTCCATCGAGCCGAACACTGGCTGTCACGTGGGCGGACATGGTGAAGCTCGCGCGGGAGCGAGAGAGGCAGAGAGAGAAAAGTACTGCGTTAATTAGGACGGGGTGGATTGTAAGCCGCAGTCCAGAGGCACTGAGGCTCTGCGTTCTTCACAGCTCGGCACGGCTAGTACCAAAGTACCAACACCGGCCACCTCGCTCGGGTCTATATATTTTGTTTCATACACAATTTTAATTACTATCTTTGGAATGAGCCCGCATACTACCCCGTATAAGGAAACCGAACGAGTATTGACTGAGAAATTTGAAAGGGAAAAGAAAAATATTTGAACTCTACACCCCCTCCCCAGTCTTAATGGGGAGGCCTCCTGCTTTACTTCGGTGTTCGGGATGGGAACCGGTGCTATCAGGTACCTGGGGTTAATCCCGTCAGCGACTCTAAGCGTTCGCCGGGGGACCCAGTAGGACCCCAAAGCTCAGGCAGCTGGGTGAGAGCACCCAGTACGAAGCTCTTTGAGGGGCGGGACGTAGAGTGAGACGACAGAGAGACAGAGAGAGACTCAGACAGAGAAGAGGTTTGGTGGGAGCTTTTTGTTTTCGTAGGGTTGGTTGTGTACCCCATGGTACCCCCACTGTCCGGCGCTCCCGTACCGAACATACAGCGTTTTAGGCCAGCTTCAAAGGACTTATCATCGCCTCCCCGACGAGTCAAGGAGGCACCACCCGCAACCACACACCGGATGGTCTGGATTGATGGATCAAATACTCCATCGCTCCAGTGCCGAGGCCAACCCGCCGAAGCGGATTGCTTTTTAGACACCCACAGCGGAGTGGCCAGGTGAATGTGACTCTGACCACTACGCTATCACGCTTGTACGTCTGGCAGCGTGTTGGACGACGGGTTTGAGTTGCACTGGGAGGAAGGCGGTCGAAAAATGTAATGAAATGATGGGATTCGATCCCCGGACCCCGCCATCGGGATCACACGACTTTACGCTCTCGGCCACCACGGCCCATGATGAGGGGACCGGCGTGAGGTGGGTTCTTGACGCAACAGGACTCGACCGACCCGGTCAAAATTTCGCAAGAAGTTGGGGGAGTCGAACCGCCGATCCTAGCACTGAGAACCGACGCCTCTACTCCCTGGACCACCACGTCCCATGCACGGAGCGGGGTCACGTTCACGGGTTTCAACCGCACTGGGTGAGGCAGTAAAATTAAATGGAAATATTTGTTAGGAGTCGAACCTCCGGCATGTGGGTCTGTTGCACACGGCTCCGCTCGGATGGCCTCGAACCACCACCCTCAGGATAGTAAGTCGAAAAAACGTATGTGACGCCGGTATTCGAACGCCCGCCTGCGGTAATTCGATCCCACGTCTCTAACCTCTCGGCTATCACAGCAGTTGTGAAACGCGATGGATCATCTGCTTTCATTAACGTTCCCTGAATGAGATTTTTTTTCTCACATACCACTGCCGTTCGAACCCGTTACCTCACTCGGCCCAATCCATGGGCCGTGGTGGCCGAGCGCGGGAAGGCGTCTGTCTTCGACCCTCGGGTCGGGCGATCGAATCCCGGCTTACACATTTTGGCGGTCTCTGCCATGGTGGTTCAAACCCGTGGCTTCAAGGGTCCCGTTCCGGTGACCGTCTCACATGAGTCGTGGTGGCTGAGAGCGTAGAGGCGTTGGGTCTCGAGTGCAGGGTCCGGGGTTCAACACCCGGTCGGTGCCAACTGTTTTTACCAAGTTTGCATCGCTGGAAGGCGGTTCAAGTATACAAAATCGGCCGACCGCCGGTGTGCCTCTCATAGCCCAGTGGTTCCGCTGCTGGGCAGGGTGACGCAGACTCCTGAGTACCAGTAGCATGGCCCCTGAGTGGGAAGGGGGCCGGGGATCGAAACCCAACTACTGAGAAAGGTGGCAGCCTGGCCTACTATGAGAGGACTCCTCCACATCACAGATGACGTGACCAATGACGGGGCCACTGCGGTTTAACTCTGAGGTTGCTCCTGTGATGAGATGGGGGAACTGTCTGGTGGGCACCACCCCCGCAGGGAAGAGGGCCGGTTCGCCGGGGTGCCCTCTTTCGCTGAAATTTTCTTTGCCGTGTTGACTTTATTTCTGTGGCTCTGAATACATTTCTGGGTTAAAATGTGTTTGTAATGCATTTCGAAACTGGTGCATCGTGCTGCTCTTTGACAAACGGCGGCTCTCTTCTGCTGCAGGAGAGATGCTGGGCGGCCACGTGCGCGCCGTGTTCACGCTCATCACCTTCATCTTCGTGACGTGCGTGGCCTACACCGTGACGAGCTTCCAGGAAGTGCCTCTCGATGTCCTGGAACGGGAGCGGCGGCCCAGCATCGCGGCCTTGGTGCGTCGGCACATCTTTTTTTGTTGTTTGTTCTTCGTCATTGTTTTGGGGCTCCTGTCCGTGGCTTTGTAACCCACTGAAGTTGGTCGCTCACGTGTTTCTTCGACTTCCAGAACCAGTGCGCGCCGCTGCTGCAGAGGGGTGACGCCGGCGCGGGGCCGCGCTACGGCAAGATGGACGAGGAGGCCGACGGCGAGCCGCTGGGCTCGGGCGGCGCGCCGGACTCGTACGGCGCCACCAGCGCGTGGGACACCGGCGGCCGGGCCAGCCGGGCACGCAGGCAAGTCATGGCGCCAATGCCGCCCCGCGGCGCTCGGCTGCGCGAATTCAGTACAGATTGCCTACCCCGCTCTCTACAGGCGAGCACATAGCGCCTGTGGGGTAGGCAATCCCGCGGCACTCGGCTGCGTGGAATCACTGCAGATTGCCTACCCCGCTCTTCGCAGGCGGACACGTAGCGCCTGTGGGGTAGGCAATCCCGCGGCACTCCGCTGCGCGGAATCACTGCAGATTGCCTACCCCGCACTTCACAGGCGCTGTGGTGGAAACGCTATCCATGAAGCTGTCTTGCAACGCAGTGCTTTCTGGCGCAGGGGTCCTCTCGGCCCGACTACCTGCCCGTGTACGGCGGCGACCAGGCCCCGGGCAGCAGAGGGCAGCCGTGGGACCCGGTGATCAACGGCTCGGCAGCCGGGGTGGCGGAGACGTCCTTCGACGCCGACCTGGTGCGTGCTGCCGATGCAGCTTCGAACTGACCTGCTGCAATGGCTGTCTCTGACGCGAGGCGTATCTCCCACAGGAGGCGTCACTACCCCCCGCTGCGGCGCGGGCGGCCCAGCGGCCCGCCGCCCCTGCCGAAGACGGGGAGCCGGCAACGCTGTCGCAGTACTTGATGTCCATCGTGTACATGCCGCACTCGGTGCGCATGGTGTGTCTCACCAACCTGTTCTGCTGGAGCGCGCACGTGTGCTACTCGCTGTACTTCACGGACTTCGTCGGCGAGGCGGTGTTCGGCGGCGAGCCCCAGGCGCCGGACGGCTCCGAGTCCAAGGAGCTGTACGAGGCGGGCGTGCGCTTCGGCTGCTGGGGCATGTCCATGTACTCGCTGTCGTGCGCCTGCTACTCCCTCGTCATCGAGCGGCTGATCCGCCGCTTCGGGTGAGTCCCTTCTCCGCCGAGACAAGCACCCCGACCACCGCCAAAGTCGGTCTCAACTTGGCATCCCTCTTGTTCTAGTGCGCGGCGCGTGTACGTCGGCGGCCTGCTCTTCTACTCCGTGGGCATGTTCCTGATGGCGCTGACGCAGCACCCGGTCGGCGTCATCCTGTTCTCGTGGACGGCGGGGGTCATGTACTCCACGCTGTTCACCATGCCGTACCTGCTCATCGCGCACTACCACGCCTGCGGCACGGTGAGGCACCACCGCCATTTTTTGACCTTATCAAACTGTTCGCATTTAAGCATTGTTGGTGTATGACGTGAATTACCAAGTCCAAACGACCCAGACCTTGAGCGGCTGGCCCACAATTTGGCTGGACCGTCGCCATTTCGTGTCGGCGCCGCGACACGCGTTGACTGGCGTTGACAGCGGTTCTTTGGTTCCAGTTCGAGGTGAACGCGGTGGGCGCCGCGGTGGAGTGCACGCAGGTGCGCGGCCTGGGCACGGACGTGGCCATCGTCAGCTCCATGGTGTTCCTGGCGCAGTTCGTGCTCTCGGTGTGCATGGGCACGCTCATCAGCATCGTGGGCTCCACCGTGACCGTGGTCGCCGTCGCGTCCTCGCTCGCCTTCTGCGGCGCCATCGCCGCCACCCGCGTCATGTACCTCGACCTCTGAGACTCTGCGTGCCTCGCCGCCGCGGGTTCGATCCCCGGCGACCACGTCCTTTTTGTCTTCGTGCTGAGCCTTCGTGGCGGCTTCGGCCAGAACTTCCGTTTCCTCGATATTTACACCCGTTGGTACCGTCTTGGGCCAGTCGAGCCCCAGCCATGTCGCTTTGAAGTATGTGTAAACCGCCAGCGCGCAAACCCAACCTCATTATCATAATCTTTTTAAAAAAGTTAAAAATGACAACTTGCGAACTAGAGTGTTGTCAGCTATTTAGTTAGTCTTTAACTGTAGAATTGTGTAGTTGGACCTGTCTAGTCAACTTTAAATGCTGTGTTTGATAATAAAAATGATAGCAGTGATTTTTGCGCGAGAGTGTTTCTGAACGGCGCAACGTTGGTGCGCCTTTCCAGAAAACATTCCCACATATCACTGCCATTTCAACAATGTAATCTAGGAATATCATACGTGTCTATAGTGTAGGCCTGTACATAGTCTGTATTATAATTCGATGTCTGAAGCGTAGATACGTTCGACCGTGGAGTTTTTGCATTTCTTCCTGCTCATCGGGCTGTCCGAGGGGCAAAAGAAAACAGTATCTCAGTTGGCTTTCTGTTTTATTAGCTATATACATTGTTACCAGAGTGAAATAAAACGAAGATTTAGTGTTTTATCACTGGATGTGTTCAGATATACAAAATATACAAAATGTACAAAATTTAAATCAAGTCTCTAGTTTGAAACCACAAATTTATACGCACACTATTTACAAAAAAGAAAGAGAGAAGGATGTAAGGCACAAAGTTAAACCTGAAAACAGTCCTGAATCTAGTAACGAAAGATGATGAGGCGCACGGGTCGTTAAGAAGGAGACCGATGTTATATGAATTGTGCACAACAAAAACGTAATACATAAGAACAATACATAAGTAGTGTGGCAAGCTGATCTCACTGAATTGAATGTACGGCGGAGTCGGGAACGGGGCTACATCACATTATCTTTAACCTACTATCACATTATGCATCCTATGGAAACAGACTCTGAGTTGCCAGCAGAATTTGGTGCTGCTGACAGAGGCACACGTCCTCGTCGTCCCCGTCCACGGCCTTTCCCAAAGAACAGGCCGGGAGGGAACGCGGCGCGAGGACGTCGCTAAGTGCCACTGCCTCGTCCTCCTGAGCGGAGAGCGGCGTCACTGCAAGCGACACTTTGACCCCATTTTTGTGTTTGTTCTTTCCGCTAACGAAAGTCTGCCTGCCTGGACGGAGGAATCAACGCGCCAACCCTTCTCAGGAACAGAGTGATCTCACACTCCATCCGAATCCATCGATTAAGACTTAACAAAAAGTATCACAGCGCTGAGTCGGCACGTGGTTCAGGGACGAACCTGTCGGCATCTCACCACCGCCTAACACTGTGGTCACGGTGGAGTGCATTTGGAAAAGTTGAAACACGGCGCAACCCTCGCGCGGGTCATCACAAGACGAACCACCGAACTAAACCGCTTCCGCCGGCCTGGACCGAGACCTGGGCGGAGACCTGGGCCGGCTCCAGGTCCGCGGGGAGGTCCTCGGTTACCCGTATGCACGCCAGAGGGCGCGACAGTCGACACGCACAGCCCGCAGCGGGGCGCGGACACGCGGCGTCGGAATCCGACTCGGTACTCGGCGTCCTCGACGGCCTCTTCGACGGCCTCTTCGACGGCCTCTTCGACGGCCTCTTCGACGGCGTCCTTCGACGGCCTCTTCGACGGCGTCCTCGACAGCGTCCTCGTCGGCGGCCTCAGCCAGCGGGAGGGGTGGGCCTACTTGGGCGGCACCTCGAGGGAGGAGGGCAGCGGCGCCAGGTGGTTGGCGTTGAAGGTGTTGTTGTTGCCGCTGTAGCGCTTCTCCCGCCAGGACGCCCGCAGGAACACGTCGCCCGTGGTGAGCAGGCCGCCCTTCTTCTCCTCCTCGAAGCCCATGTTGACGCAGCCCTCGGCGTCCTTGGCGTCCTTGGCGTTGGGCTTCGGCAGCAGGCCCAGCCGCTCCTTGCGGTGCACCGTGTACATCCACCTGCAAAAGCGAGTCCTTTTTTAAATGCCCAAAGATTCGGGTGAGTGCGTCGGTGCGGCGAGTAGCCGGCCGCGTGTTCCGTACCCGAAGATGACGATGGCCGGCGCCGTGAGCGCGCCGCCCAGCAGGAAGAAGGCGCCGGGGACCGTGGTCATGGTGGCCTGGTACACGGACGAGTACATGGGCCCGTACACGAGCGGCATCAGGGCCTCGCACACGCCCACCAGCGAGTTCACTTTGCCTGCAAGCAGAGAGGAGGCCATGACCGTCACTGCCGCTGCGGGCGGGGACTCGATCCCAACTCCAGGGCGCCACTTACCCAGTTCATCCGGGGGAACGAGTTTGGACGCGATGGACCTCATGGCGATGAAGGATGTGCCGTTGACCATGTCCACGAGGGGCGCTGCGGGGAGGGGGAAGATGCGGTAACCAAACGCTCGAGCGGCGGCGCGGCGGCCGTGAAGAGACTCACTCTTATTTTACACCGTACTCACCGAGGTAGATCATCCACGTGGTGGTGGCGAAGGCGTAGAGGAAGCCGCTCAGGATCTTGGACATGCACGACATGATGCCGATGATGGCGTCGTCCACGCCCAGGAGGTGGCTGAACACGCCCACCGAGATGATGGTCCCTGCAACACACAGCGCGACAAGACGCGTCATTCCCAGTCCCGTGTTTGCTTTCGGCCACTTTCGGCACAGTCGGATAAGTCGGGCCGGCCGATCGCAGTAACTCCTCCTTTGTCCGTCCAACCCGAGGGAGAGGGCGAGAGAGGAAGAGAGAGGGACCCGAAACGGCAGTAAACTCCTGGGCACCATTTATGCAAATTCGCGCCCGGGCGTCCCGAGCGAAAGAGACAGACACAGAGAGAGACAGAGCGAGCTTTCATTTCTTTTCACGGGCCGTTGACACCCGAGACACCCCCGGCTGGCATCGTAAACCCGTTCGCGTACTGAGTACTCACCGATGAGGTTGGTGACCATGCCGTAGGTGGAGAAGATGCTGAAGTCCACCTCGTTCCAGTTGAATCTCAGTCTCGTAAACAGGTACATAACGGTCATCTCGCCTGCGAACAGTGGAACAAGATTCGCCTCGTCAGGCCCATTTTCCACGGCGAACGGATTGGAACCCCCATAGCGCACAGTGTGTGAGAGAGAGGGAGAAGGCTCCGCGGCCTTGGCGCATTTGTCTGCGGCGCCGCGGCGCGGGCCAGCGCCAGCCATGTGGGAACGCACGGAAAAGATGCGGCGCGGGGCGGCAGCGGGAAAAGACCTGAGTGATGATTCGGGAGGGGAGGGAGGGGGGAGGCGCGGATGTGACGCGGTGAGGCCCGGCGCGGCGGAGCGCGGCGCGGTGCGGCGTGGGTCTCAAGGGCACAGCCGGGCCATCCCAGCACGGCCCTCCCTCTCCGCCCGTCCAGGCCAAAGTGTCCTCAGTGCCGCCACCACTCTCCCCTTCCGCCAAAGGCGGCCAAAGGCACCAGGCCGTGCCACTGCTTCGCCTTGCCGCCGCTGGCCGCGCCGCCGGCCGCCCGTTCCACACACTTCGTCGTGGTGCTCCAGTCCTCTGCCCCGGGCCACTATGCGCTAAGCGCGGAGGCCGGATAAAATCGAGAGTCTCTCTCTCTCTCTCGGTGCTCCAGTCCCCCAGCCCGGCCTAGCGTCGCGTCCGCGTCGTCCACGTGACACGCCGAGCCCCTCCCCGTCGGCGGACTGGCGGACTGCACAGCCATTCCGAACAGTGCTTTTGCCGCTCTATCGCACTTATGGCGTGTCTCGTAAAGGGAGAGAGAGAGACAGAGCGACGATGCACTGCTTGGAAACGCTCTGCTGGCGGACGCGGGGGCGCGGGACTAAGCCCTTCCCGTTCCGGCGGCCGGTGGCGGCCGGTGCAGCCCAGAGCACAGCAGCGTAGCCGGCAGCGTGGCCGCCGCCCCCTCCAGCTGGCTTACGGACCACCCCCGCCCCCGGACGGCCCTCCACCTCGAGGCGTCGCGTCGCGTCGCCGTGCCCGGCGTGTTGACCGCACTCTAGGATAGATCCATCTAGTGCCCGTGGCGTGAGCCTCGTTTGTCGCTCGCCGAGCTGCACTACCAAAAACAGGGGCGCTCTCGCTCGAAAGCGCGTCGAAACATTGTATACACTGGAAGACACCTCGGCTGGGCTGTGTCCGAAACCGAGGCCGCGACTCACCGTGCATGGGGCCGATGACAACCATGACGACGATCATGAGCAGGATGACGCGCTGCTTGCGCATGTTCTCGCCTTCCTTGAAGGCGACGCGGAACGTCTCCTGGATGTGCTTCATGTCGAAGAAGTCCTTGAGGAAGTCGACGAGCCTCCTGTAGAGGGACGGCCGGTCCCCGGACAGGGCCTCCTTCTCCGCGGCCTCCTTGGACTTCTTCCGCGGCTCCTCCTTGATCATGAAGAAGCCGTACCAGAAGCTGAAGAGGTACATGACGGCGGACACGGAGAACACGCCGTAGAACCTGCGGGCGTGGAAGGGTCAGTTAGCGCGGCGATCGGAAAGGTGGAGGCCTTTGAGTGGGCGTGGGCCCGGCGCGTACCCGATGCGTTTGTAGAGCACCCCCGACAGCGCCATGCCGATGGGGATGCCCAGCGAGCAGAAGACGTTGACGATGCCGATGCGCAGCGTGCGGGAGTCCTTGTCCGTCACGTCGGCCACGTAGCTGAACACGGCCATGAACATGGTGAACCAGCCGCCCGTCAGCGCGGGGAACACCGACTCCACCAGCTGCAACAACAACAACAAGAGGCAACATCAGCAACGAGCGGGACAGTTGCATTTAAATTCCGCGCCCGCCGTCCAGCCATTCCGCGCGAAGGTTGGTAATACCGTTCTCACCCACAAGGAAGGCGGCGGGCCGCACAATGGCAGTGCAGATAATGATTCGCCGTGCCGCTGCCTCTGCTGCAACTTGCGCGTTGCGAGTCGTTTGCTGACCGCGAAAATGGCATCGGCGGGGCAAGTCTGACTTTCTAATCCCATCCTATCTGGTCGCACGGAGCCTCGGAGCCGCGGAGGCAGAGGCATCCTCGCCGGTCTGGATGTAATAAAATGCCATCATCGGACGTAACCGCATGCCCGGCGTGACGCCGCGTCGCCGCGGTGGGGCGGCGCGGTGGGGCGGCGCGGCGGTGCATGGCTGCAGCGCGAGGAAGCGAGCGGACGGACAGACGGACAGACGGACGGGCAGGCAGGAAGGCAGAACCCTCAACTAGTGCTGTGTAGTACCCCTGTAGGCCAAGGCTAGCACCGACCGCCCATCGTAATGCCTGGGTACTGCTGCTGCTGCTGCTCGGTAGACCCAATGATAGCGCTACAGAAATTTCGCGCCCCACCAAGACAGACTTCCGTGACCGTGAAAAAAAAAACCGTACTCACCCCTGCTGCTTCCATCGGCAGCTCGTAGAAGAAGTAGGTGCAGACGATGAGGCCGATGCTGGTGAGGAACTCGCCCACGATGGGCATGAGCATGCAGGGCTTGCGGCGACCTTGGCGGTCCGTCCACGCGCCCAGGAACAGGATGAGGAAGGCTGGCACCGAGCTCTGCACGAACGTCTTCCAGCCCGCCATCCCCGCCACCAGCTGCTGCACCTGCGCGACGAGGAGACAGTGTCAAAACTAACTCGGTTTGAACAGTGTGTGCGTTCGTGCGGCGGTCGCCCTACCTCGTTCTCTTGGTGGGTGTAGTTGGCGGTCTCCCGGGCGGCAAGCGCGGTGCACACCTCGTCACTGTAGCCCAGGTTGACCCGGCAGGCCTTCTCCAGGTTGAGGTTCTGCGTGGCCAGAGCGGCGAGCACGGACGGCATGATGTAGCAGGCCAGCATGGGCTCCACGGTGATGTTGTCGCGGACGAAGACCATCTTCTGCCGGAACGACAGCTCCCAGAAGTTGCTGAAGTCGCCGGGCCGGATCTCCGCCTTCTCCTTCACCTTCTTGGCCTCCTCGGCCGCGGCGCCGCTCTTCTCCAGGTTCTTGTTGTTCATGTCCGTGGCGGCGGCCTTGCCTTCCCAGTCGCCGGCCGCCTTGGAGTCCTTGACGCCCTCGATGACGGCGCCCACCGCCATGGTGCTGGTGGTGGCGGCGGCGGTGGTGGCGGCGGTCTTGCCGGTGGCGCGCTCCGGCAGGGCAAGGGGGCTCCTCTACCCAAGGACGGTGGCCATGGTGTCCCTGCGGATGGAAGAAGCCGCTCGTTAAGTGGAAACCGGAAAGCAGTCCTGGCGTCGGTCCCCCTGGTCCAAGTCCTTGTTCTGACCCCTGGTCGGCCGGTCCGGCATTTGGCGAGGCAGACGACTGCAGTGCCGTGCAGGCCAGGCCGTGCAGGCCTTGCAGGCCTTGCCCCAAACGAGGACCGCACGGTAACGACGCCGTGCTCATCTCGGGTAATCACGCCGACTTGTCACTCACGATAAATTCGAGCCGCGCGCCGCACGCCATGCCCGAAAGGCGGCTGCCCTGCCCGCCTTGTTGGCGAAAACGGCGCGATTTTCAATCTATGCGGCGGCAGCCGTTTAATGTAACGGGTCCACGGGGTCGAGCCCGCCGTCGCGCCGCCAGGACGCAAGGCCAAAGTTCGGTGGCACTTCGTCGAGGCGGAGTGCGAAGCAGAGCGTCACCAAGTACAGCCGTCGGAGCCGCGCGGAGCCACGTGGGACGTGTAGGTGGTGCGGGCCCGCGACGCCGCGCCCTGCCCTGGCCCTGCCAGGCCCTGCCCAAGCGGACCATTGTGATGTAATTTGTTGGCGTCGCGACGACGCTCTGCCGCCACGTAACCCGGCCACGCGGCCACGCGGCCCCGGGGCCACGCCCCCTCCTCTCTTCGAATGCACCGCGCCCTCGCCCTCGGCGGGACTCGAACCGGCAACCGGCCCACGGCCCCACGGGGCGCCGCGTCCTTGCAGGCGTCCCCAGTCCCCCCGAGACCTTGATACGCCCCAAACACCAACACCGCGGCGCCACAAAGGAGTTTGCTTCCCGAACGACGCCACGCCGAGCCCGGCTGTGCCTCGTCGCGCTGTCTCTCTCGCACCCACACTGGTGGGTGCGATGGGGGCAGAGCGACAAGGCACTGGTTCGGAATCGGCCCGTGGTTCCATTGCCGGGCTATGCACACTCCGCGCAAGGCGCCGCAAAGCGCAAAGCGGCGCGGTGCTGTTTGTTCTCCGCGGCCGAGGCGGTCAAGGCGGCCAAGGCTGCCACGGAGGAGGCTCGCCGGCCGCCCGCTATTTTCTCCCGTCGCAGCGCGTCGTGGCGTCAGCGCGTCATCGCGATGCGGAGAGTGGCATCGCACTTTCCCGATCAAGGGGCGCTCCGTCCATCCCCTCCCCCTCCCCCTCCGCCACGCCCAGCCGCCCCGCCCCGGACCAGGCTAACCCTTTATTACGGGAAAAGCTCCCCGTTCGGCCGTCCGGCCGTCCGGTGGCATTGACGAGAAAGTACCCCGGCCCGCGCGCCTACAAGACCACCGTCATCGCCGCGCTCCCGGTGCAACGACGTGCACGCCGTGCCGAGCCCCCCCCCCCCCCCCCGGCCCTTCGCTGCATGTGTGTTCGTCACCGTCGTCGTCGCGCAGGCCGGCCATACCGTAACATGAATGCTCCAGACAACGGCCAGACGTGCTGGCAAGGCGACACCGCCGCGTCGCACCGGAGCGGGGCGAGGCGGGGCGGGGCGGGGCGCGGCGGGGCGCGGTGGCCCAATACATACTAGGTCGCGACACGCATATTGGAGGCACCCCGAGCTGCACGCGGGCGGCGAGGTCCCGGACACGCCTGTCGGTGGCGGTTTGAGCCCCGACAGTGCAGGGGCGTAGCAGGGCGTAGCTGGGCGCAGTGAAAGCCGAGGGACGTTGTCGTCGCGAACTGGCGACGGCACCCCGGCCGGCCAGAGCACCAGGGCCTGCACCAAGGCCTAGGGCCTGCACCAGGGCAGCCGGCCCGGGGAAGGGAAGGGGGCTTGGAAGGCATTCTCTGGAGGGGCCACGCAGTGCACGTCGGAAGACTGGCGGTCCGCCGCCGCTTGCCACCTCACTGCCGCGTCGCCCGCCCCGGCCCCCTCTCACCTTCCCCGCCACTCGGCCATGCTGCTCACGGAGACCGTGGATGCCACCTCGTGTGTGTGTGTTGCTTCCAAGGCAAATCTCTCTTTGTCTGGCTCGGATTAACGCCTGCCCGGCTGGGCCTCCTAGTAGACACCGTTAAAGGCCATCGTCCGGCTTGAGTCCGAAATTAAACGACTCAAGCGGCAGAGCGGCAGAGCCAAGCCCGCGACGAGGCAGGGGCAAGGGCTGTCCAGAGGCAGGCCGGCAGGCCCAGGGGGAAAGCCAAGGGGCGGAGCCAGAAGGCACGAGGCAGTGTACCAGTGTACCGCGGCGACGGGGCGACAGTGTGCGAGTCCACGTGTCTTTGTGGCCCACGACCCGCGGCTCGCACGGACTCGAAGTTATTTTCGAGAGAGGGCACGAGCGCATGATAGGCCGTCATTACGGCCATGGGAACGCTGGGGACGCCGCGGTGTCCACTGTCCACCCAGTGGCGCGACGCGGCGCCACGCGGGGACCGAACGAAGAGTCATTCCCAAGAGAAGTCGCAGCAAAGCCGCTCATTTTCGGCCACTTCGGCCATTTCGGCCGCCGGGACACAATAATTGTCGCGAGGACGCGAGGTATTCGGAGCGTGCGACGTCGTCCCGCCGACTCAGTCCGTCGCTCTGTCTCTCTCGCACTCGTGGGGCGTCCCTTAGGGGTGGGAGAGAGACAGAGCGATCCTGTGGAATCGGGCGACTGTCACGCCACCTCTCGCTTTTTTCGCGAATCAAGGACCCTGCTAGCCGTCACTGCACTGCGACGCGAGATTCATGACGGTCGGACTCCCCCCGGGGTGGGGTCCTTGTGGGCCTGCACGGCGGCGGAGGGAAGTCTCGGGGGAAGTCGACGACCGGGTTGCGAAAGAGAGATGTAAAAAGCCGATAGGATTTCGAATCGGGAGTCCGTCGCGCGACCTGCGAAAACCAGCCTTCTGTTGTGAGCCTGGCGAAAAGCTTAGGCCCCACACGCGTCACACGCACACACGCACACTCGCACACACGCGCACTCGCACACACGCGCGCCGGGCTTTATGCAAATTTTACGAGTCGGATTTTACCATTACTTTTTTTGACAGGCGGTCAGCGGGCAGGAAACGTGTTTGGCGAAACCTTTTGCGGATCGACAAACCGAAGCGCGGACGCGGTTATCTATGACCGCCCAACCAAGCAAAGTTTGGCGACGGAAAAAATAAAGGTTTGTCGCTGACAAACTTGCGGCGGACGTTTTAGCAAGCTCTGTTTGCGCCGGGGTCGTACGGACTGTATTACGTATTGGGGTATCCCAGAGACACAAAAATATGTCATGGGGAAATTTTAGTTGTCTCTTGTAGTTTTTAAATTTCTTAAAAATCATAAGGAAGTTTACATTAAGCTGCACGATTTGCGTATGAAAAGGATCCTGTTGGCCAGGGTTCCAAGGCTTTCGAGGAGCACAGTGTGCCAGCTCGGCCCGCAGACAGTGCGGGCCTAGTACTTGACATAACTGGCGGCGCCGCGGTTAGCCCCAGGGTCGGCTCCATGCAGTGAAGCTGTCCCACTCCTCGGTAAGACACACGCACACTGCTTCCAAATTGGCGCGCAGTCATCGCGCTGCCTGCACTGTGGGGAGGGCGGCCTTCGCCGTATCGGCAGAGCCGGGCAGAGCGATTCCGCTCCGTCTCTCTCGCTCGCGTACGGAACGTCCCATGAGTGCGAGAGAGACAGAGCGCCACTCCGCGCCCGTTGTTGTACTGGAGGCACCTCTCTGGCGCCGCGCTGCGCCGAGCGAGGCACGGGCATGACTTGTGGTAATCCGTTAGCCGTCTGCAAGTCCAGAGTGGACGCGTCAATGACGCAGCCCGACGGAAATGTTGTCGTTGTTGTTGCCGAGTTAGAGAGCCCGTGTTAATGCCACGCACCGAGAGTCACAAAGTAACAAAACGAAAATCGCGGCGCGGCTGTAAAATCAAGTACACGGCGGTGTAAGCGTCCCTCTGGGAATGCGACGGAATGCCAAATTTCTCGCGGGACATCGCTGAAGTCAAAACCACAGAAATTATGGAATCCCGCCCGACAGGGGAATTACCGCGCGAGGTGATGCTCGCTCTAATGGCCGACTCGCCAAATGGGACGCACGGGCGGCACGGGCCGCGAGAAGGATTGCCATTTGGGCCCCAGTCTCCAGGAGCGCGTGCCGCGGGCCGCTGGCTGCCGAATCGGCGGAACAGGAAACTGGCAACCACCGTTTCGGTGCGCTATGCCGGCCACGCGCGGGCCTGCTGGCCGCTGCTATGGAGAGAGAGAGAGAGGGTCAGACTGGGTCATGACTGCGGGGCTGCGGGGCTGCGGGGTCACGCGGTGTCTCCAGCCAGGGTCAGCGAGTGGTGGCCATCGGTCCGCGACGGCCGGCCGGACACCGGAGGGACGGCCGGACAGGCGAACGGGTGCCGACGGGTAGGTGCCCGCGCCGCGCCCGCCCCGCGGCTGGCTCCTCTCTGGCGCGGTGCGGCATGTCGGCCTTCGATCACCGGCGTGGCGTGCACGGCGTGCACCGTGCCACTGCCACGCGGACACACAACTGGGTCGCGCCCTTGCCCTTCTGCCTGCTTTTGCCGGCCGGCCGGGGCAACGAACGCCACGGACGCGCTGGCCGGCCGCGGCGGCCTGCCTCAGGCCTGCCTGTCCACTGGTGGGAGGGCCGCCCTGCTGGGGTGGTCGTCGTCGGCGTCGGCTCCCGCTGCAGCCCGTGCCGGCCGCGGTGCTGGCCGCGTGCTGGCAGGCAGGGCCGCTTCCTGTTACGTGGGCCCCGTAACGCACCGCCAAGGTCGCCTCGCCGGGCGGCCCGGGCCTAGCTCGCCTGGCTGTGGTTTGCCTGCCCAGGCCCTTCCAGCCGGGATGGCCCTTGTAAGGGCCTAGGCCGGCCTGGGCTGCTGAGGACAGCGACAGGACCACCGGCCGCAGACTTTCCCGAGTCCTTGGTCCTAGGGCAGCGCGCTCGTCCTCGCCGTCCTCGCCGTCCTCGCCTCACCGCGGACTGGGCTTTCCCTTCACGCGCTCGGGATCCCCGCCTCGTTTCCCGTCGACGTCGACCACCCTGACAACGCACACCACCCCGGCCGGCGATGCCGCCGCCGTACCGGAGCGACTACACGGCGAGCCCCCGGTCGCGCCGCTTGGCCGCGTCGCCGCGTCGCCGCGCGCACTGACCTACATTTGGCGGAGCCGCGCGGCTAGTAATGTTGACGTATGCAAATAAATGCCGACATCGGCGGGTGAGGGTCGACGGCGTGGTCGCGGCGGCGCGGCAGCAACAACAACATGGGCCGCGACCGGGGCGGCGCCGGTGACAGCAACAACAACAACAGGCTGCACGTCGTTGAGGTGATCGCGACAGTTATAGTGTCGTCTGCTTTCGCTTTCATCTGTTTTTGTCGCGACGCGATGCAGCGGCGGGACTGCAGGACTGTGGCGGGAGCAGCCGCACCGCCTCGTATCGCACCAGACAAGTCAGTCGCCTCGTCAGTCGCCCTGGCCGCCTGGACGAACAGCCGTTGGAAAGTTCGTTGGAAAGAGCTTCACTCGCACCGGTGGCCCTCACGGCCCTCGCGGCCACGACGCGGTGCAGCGGACTGACGTCCAGGAGCAATTACATCACGGTTACGCCGCGCGGGCTGTAGCGGCAGTGGCGGTGCAGCGCGGGCAGTTGTGCGTGTGTGTGCGTGCGTGTGTGTGCGTATGTATGCAAGTGCAGTAGACCAAGGGAAGGGGCACTACTGCTACACCACAAAAAAATTCCAATGCTAACGCATTGCACGGTTACCAAAAATGTTTCTCAAAATTGGTGTTGCCTCGGTTCATCCATGGGAACACATGAAATTGCTTCTGAAGGCGAATGACGCTGTGACGTCCGGGCGGTCCGTGGTCCGTGCCGTGCACACCAGCAGGGCTGCTAATTGTTCCTCGCCTGCTACTTAAGACGCCCGAAGAGTGGCCACACAATACACGGTGACCGCGAAAAAATGGCAAGCACTTCCTCCAAAAACAGGTTCGCGATTCACACAAATGTGTCTGTTTCAAGTGGGCAAATGGCTTAAGATTTCGGGAGAACGCGGTGGGGGAAATCCAGTTTTCATCAGTTTAAGGTATTTGGAGGCACATGACGTTGCAGCAAATTGAAACAAAACTTGTCACTCGGTTATCCCCAGGAGAGCAACATGAGACTTCCTAAACTTCCCTATGTAGCCACAGGCCGCAAAGATGAAATTTAACGCTTCCCACAAACACAAACAATCATATTTTTTGCGCGCTCGAAAAAGGGACCATCAAACTCAGAGAACGCTTTTCAAAAATTTTCAGTCTTGTTTCAATTTGTCTTTGACAGCGACTCACCTTGAACGCCGCCCTTGCACTAAGTCCCTCGCCGGTCCACTGGTAGTCGCCCCGCGCTGTCGCCTTAAGTACGGCCGCCGAGTAAGTCCACCAAGTACACCAAGTACTGCAGCAAAAGGCTGGAGTCGGCCTGCACTCCGCGTTGCACGTTGCACTGTAACTCGCGCCGCCCTGCAGCCCTGCGTAGCCCTGCGTAGCCCTGCCCTGCCGGCTCACGACGCGGCCATAACAAAACTGACGTCGTTCGGCGCGGCGGGCTCAGCCGGCTGACTCCGTGAGAGGGGCGTGGTGGGGCGCGGGGGGCGGGGCGGGGCGGGGCGCGGCGCGGCGGGGAGCGGGAGGGGGCAGGGCGGCCGCCGGCCGCTGTTCGCGACCAGTTCGCCGGGCCGCGGCCCGCGGGGCGACCATACACGCGAGCCCATCGCGGATCGCGCGACGCGGACCTGGAAGGGGAGGGGGGGGAGGGGGGAGGAGGCACCCGCCCCCGTGGTGTGCACTATGGGACTTGGACGCGGTTCGTTGAAGACGTTTAGCGGAGTTGATCAAATTCGTTTTGTCCGATGAGCCGACGCCAGGGCGCCCAGGGCGACAGCATGACTGTCAGAATAGACGGACTGTGACAACAACAGGATTGAGGCAACGCTAACGTCTGAAATGTTGTCAAGTTTTCAGTACAGTACTAATGCGCTCGTTAGCCTGCACGATCGAATACGCCTATCTAGACCCAAAACTATCCCAACGCGGCTTATAGAAGTTCATAAATGTGATAATTTTTCCGAGTCAATCAGGGGCCGGGAATCCCTGGGCAGCACGGCGGAGGGTGTGGGTTTCCCTTGCGTCACGGCACGGCACTGCACACTGCACGTGCCCTAAGGGCCGAGACAGGACGTCGGGCGCCACGCTGTCTCGCTGGCGCGTGGTCGTGGTCCTGGCCCGCGCTCCTTGAACTTGGCACGGCCGGCACCGCCCCGCCCCGCCCCGCCCCGCCGTGCCCTACTTGGGGCTCGCACTTTCTCGCCGGTACTGCCCCTCATCTCAATCACCGGGACACGAGGAAGATTTGGCAAGCCTGTTCCGCCGGCGCAAGTGCAGGGAGAAAGTAGTAGGGAAATATTCCCTCCCACGATGCGCGCGCAAGCGTCCAAAGGGTTGCCAACCTCGGGCAACTTCCAGAAACCCCCTGATGGCGGCCGGGGAGGCTTGGGGTGCTGGAGGCACCAGCCTCTGCCTGCGACGCCGGCGACTTTGTAGTGTAGCTCACAGGCTTGGCCAAAGAGAGCCCTGGCCGGCCTGCTCGCGTGCCGCGGGTGGACGTCAAGCTCATTACTCCAATTATCGCCGTTTGGCGGCGCGGTACTTTCTGATTATCGCCGCCGTGAGGTTTTTTCTTCGCCCACCGGGTGAGGAGCACGCCCAGTGACAGTGTGCCTCCAGACTCGCTTTGGAAAACGCCAAAACCGAAAAACGGGGCGGAATCGCCCCCCAAAAAGGGTGGTTTGAACTTAGTTCCTGTTCGCCACTCGCTGGGCTCGGCAGCTCGTCGCTGTTGGACACATTAGCATCTCGGTTGGCGACTCGCCTCCACGCTTGATTGCGATCACACCAGCCTGCCGGGGACTGGGTCCGCGGGACTGGGTCCCCGGGACTCCCCAGCAGGATGCCGTCAGCTCGCGTCAGCTGGCTCCGTGCCGCGCAGACCTGCACAGTGGAAGGAGACGGTCTCCAGGGCGTCGCCGCGGCGCACTGCGCACCCTGCCGCAGCGCAACCCGCATGCTCTGCGATCAATCTCCGAGCCGCTTTTCGGAAGGGGATCAGTTCATCCCTCTGTCTCTGTCGCACTCACGGCGTCCCTTGGAGACGCGAGAGAGACGGAGCGATGGAACGATCCTCGCGAGTCGTCAGGCAGGTGTGGCGGCGCGCGGTGACAGCATGACAGCCGCCGACGACTCCGTCTGTCCGTCCGTGGCTGCCCGCGCCGCGCGCTGCGGGTGTTTATGGTTGTGTGAAGTATTCCTCGTTTACCGCTTGAGCGGAAGGCCGCGTCAAACGTTTCAGCACTGTGTCCGCGCTATAAAAAGTGAAAACTGAAATAAATTCACTCTAAAAAAATGCAGCTTTGCAAAACGGACCGCGACATAAAACCTTTGATGATTTCGACTTCCGTTCCTTTTTCTACAATCCTAGTGACCCAGAGGCCCCCCCTGTGAAACTCGTTCCAGTTCCAAGTTCCAGTGTAGTCGTGTGATGCAGAGCCCCCCTCCCCCTTTCCCCGCCAATCCGTGGCGCCGCTTGTCAGGACGAGGCGAATCCGGCAATTTCGGTCATTATGCAAGGTCTCTTGTTCGAATCACGCGCCGGTCCGCGAGTCCCTCGCATTCCGCGGACGGACTTGGCGGACTCGGCGGCGCAGTGGGACTCAGCCTGACTGGCCGAACTCACAATTTTAATTACTATCTTTGAATGAGCCCGCATACTACCCCGCATAAGGAAACCAAACGATTATTAACCGAGAAATTTGAAAGGGAAAAGAAAAAATTTGAACTCTACACCCCCTCCCCAGTCTTAATGGGGAGGCCTCCTGCTTTACTTCGGTGTTCGGGATGGGAACCGGTGCTATCAGGTACCTGGGGTTAATCCCGTCAGCGACTCTAAGCGTTCGCCGGGGGACCCAGTAGGACCCCAAAGCTCAGGCAGCTGGGTGAGAGCACCCAGTACGAAGCTCTTTGAGGGGCGGGACGTAGAGTGAGACGACAGAGAGACAGAGAGAGACTCAGACAGAGAAGAGGTTTGGTGGGAGCTTTTTGTTTTCGTAGGGTTGGTTGTGTACCCCATGGTACCCCCACTGTCCGGCGCTCCCGTACCGAACATACAGCGTTTTAGGCCAGCTTCAAAGGACTTATCATCGCCTCCCCGACGAGTCAAGGAGGCACCACCCGCAACCACACACCGGATGGTCTGGATTGATGGATCAAATACTCCATCGCTCCAGTGCCGAGGCCAACCCGCCGAAGCGGATTGCTTTTTAGACACCCACAGCGGAGTGGCCAGGTGAATGTGACTCTGACCACTACGCTATCACGCTTGTACGTCTGGCAGCGTGTTGGACGACGGGTTTGAGTTGCACTGGGAGGAAGGCGGTCGAAAAATGTAATGAAATGATGGAATTCGATCCCCGGACCCCGCCATCGGGATCACACGACTTTACGCTCTCGGCCACCACGGCCCATGATGAGGGGACCGGCGTGAGGTGGGTTCTTGACGCAACAGGACTCGACCGACCCGGTCAAAATTTCGCAAGAAGTTGGGGGAGTCGAACCGCCGACCCTAGCACTGAGAACCGACGCCTCTACTCCCTGGACCACCACGTCCCATGCACGGAGTGGGCTCACGTTTACGGGTTTGAACCGCACTGGGTGAGGCAGTAAAATTAAATGGAAATATTTGTTAGGAGTCGAACCTCCGGCATGTGGGCCTGTTGCACACGGCTCCGCTCTCATGGCCACGAACCACCACCCTTAGGATAGCAAGTCGAAAAATTTTTTGTGACGCTGGTGTTCGAACGCCGGCCTGCGGTAACTCGACCCCACGTCTCTAACCTCTCGGCTATCACAGCAGTTGTGAAAGGCGATGGATCATCTGCTTTCATTAACGTTCGTTGAATGAGATTTTTTTTCGTTATATAAAGTTTTTCTCTTGGATTTCATTTATAGTCTCAAAACGTGTGCTGTCTGCGGCGTGAGCCTGCTTCGGTGCAGTCACGCTTTGCCTCGAACGAGACGGACGCGGCACGGCGGTGCGCGGTGCGCGCTGCGCGGTGTCACAGGCACGGGACGGCGGCTTGCAGCGAACGCAAAGCGGCCCGACCGGGACGGGAACCGCGGCGACCAGGAAGACGAGGATCCCCGGCCGGAACGGCGACGCTGCGTTTTGCATCCGACTAAAATACGACAACGAAGCGGCCGGGGGACAGACGCACGATCCCGGCGTTATCGTGCCACCAAAAGGGGCGATAAAACTGCCTTGTTTTGTCAGCGCTGAACAGTCTGTTTGCTCGCCGCGGCAGCCAGTTCAGGAACAAGTGTTGTTCCCGCGGCGGTGCGAGAGCAGCAAAGCGGCCTGGCCTCGCCACCTTCGCGGTGTGGTGGGCCATCTTTTCCGTGCTATCCAGCCCGGAAACCCTTCTGGAAAAGGCTCCAGCGACGCGCTAAGTGCTGGCCCAGTCCGCCTCTGTCGGGTGCCGCTCGAAAATAATTTGCTGGCCGGCCAGTCCGCACAGTCGTACAGCACCCCGTCTTGCAGTTGGTACCGGAAGCATGTAGATTGATGGGTGGGTGATGGGAACGCAAATGAAAAAAAAATAATAATAAAAAAATCAGTGATTACTGTTAGGCGAAGGTTGCCGGTAAACAGCGACGAAATTTCTGATACGGCTTGCAGCTCAAATCTAAACTTCCAAAAAGGCCGTTGAAAAAAAAAGCAGCAACTGCCGATGGTAATCACCGCTCCGTAGCGCCAGGCCGCGCGCTTGGCAACACTTTAAAACCAACTCCGGTCGTTACTCAATCAGCGCCGCTCCATCGAGTCCTGCAGAGCAGCCGATGCCCAGTCCGTCCGTGTTCGGGTCGCTGCCTCCGCAAATTTATTCGCAAGTCCCATCAATTTTTTTTAAAGGCGTTAAGGCGCGAGGTCTCAATGTCAAGGCAGAGGCAAAGCGAGTGGCGCGGCACGCTTCATTCAAGGAGCGTATTCATGTATTCACCAGTGCACCTGCCGCCCGCCGCAGGAGGCTCCGACAGCTCCGGCGCTCCAGCTCCCCGCGGAGGTCGCCGCCACGGCACGCCACGCCACGCCACGCCACGCCACGCCACGCCATCAGCGCCGTCAGCGCCATCGGGGTGAAGGCGACGCCGGCAAACTAGACCTGGCCGCCGGGCCGCGCCGCGCCGAAGCCGCCAAAGCGCAGCCATGAGAGTAGGACCTTTTCTGGCTGGAGTGGCAACTGGGCCTGCCTGGCTGAAGCTCACTGCGTCGGTACTAGAGTCCTACGGGTATAGGACTCGGGTCGGGATTTGACATGGGGGCCACTACGCGTCTCTGCTAAGGGGTGAAGCGGCCTTTTCCCTTCAAATTAATAAACTCTAAGTAAATTTTCGGCATCCCCCCGAATTCCGGGTAATGAAGTATTGGAGAAATCTTTTCGGGTAAAACCGACCTTGAATATA